AGCGCAGCTCTGAGGGCATCCATGCTGTCGGCTAGTGTAAACACAGGTCGCACACGTGATGTCAGCATTTTTTTGTCGCGGAAAGTGACGTTGCGGACCTTAAAACTCCGGTTTTGTCTGTCCACACGCAGACACCCAAAACGGAGAAAACGCAGATCTTCACTTTGGCCGGAGTTTTTAAAAAGATCCGTTTTCGTGTGGATGACAGGCCAAAATGTAGAAAAATATCTACGTTTTGGCAGATCCCCGGCTACGTGTGGACAGGGCCTTAGTTTAGATGAGACCATGGTCTTCAGCTGGAAGGTCTTCTCCAGGTCAAGGAGGAGGTCCTGCCTCAAGGAGTTTCTTAGGGTCTTGATCACAAATGATGGAAAGATGGCGCGCAAGATTAACAGGCGGATTGGTGCTGCGTCTACAGTTTGGGAGGAGCCATTCGAGGTGGCTCGGGGACACTTCCTGGAAGACCTCCTGGTGAGGTTTTCCAACCAGGAGTTGACCCAAAGGAAGACTCAGGACTCGCAAGGGAAGTCGCTTCCAGTTTGAACGAGAATGACAAAATATAAACACACATGAAAAGCGATTAAAGGTGCAAAAGCAAATCTACGAAAAACAAAATTTTTCAGACAAACTTGAGAGAACCACTTAATGAATTTATTTTACCTTAAATAGTTCCCAAGCACAACCACTGCTGCAGCTCCCCATTCCCCACGGGGATGGGTCAAATGTGGAGATGTCATTTCACCTGTGTGGGATGACTAATGGGACTTTACAGAACAAGCTAGCTGTTAATCGCAAACATGGTCACAGAATGCTCACCTCTCCTGCCAGGTATCATCCCTGGGCCGTGTCCGCCTGATGTGGAAAACCTGCGATGCCAGAGGAAACGAGATAGCTAAACATCAGTGGCCGTTTTCTAGGTCCAAACGTCTTTTGTTGTCCGTGACTTCAAATGGTGTTTTTATTTATTTATTTTTTTGGGACTCTGGTAGTTTGTCCTGAAGCTAAAGTGGTAGCAGCCAGCTGTTTCTCCTCTGATATTATTGAGGAGAACCTCTCACACCAGTGGTGTTCTGTTGCTGGAGGAGGTTTGCTATGGCGCGGTATGGGCGCCAAAATTAAGACTACTGCCCAGCAGCAGGAGGCTATATAAATTCCGAAGCAAACTACTGACCTGATTAACGATAAGCTGGCGCCAGTAACTGAGAGGCTGGCGCTGCTTATTGAGAAATAGCACCTTTACCAGCATTACTACTAGATACGCTAGGGACTAGCAGCCCTCGGCTGGTCATTAACTGGTTCACACACTCCCTCTGCTGTCTATTAGCATGGATAGGCTAGCGTTAGCCTGGACGGGCTGGTGTTAGCATTGGAGAGGCTAGCCATTAGTGTGCCTAGGCTGGCCACTAGCTGGATTTCCTACGCCCTTGATGGACCATTAGCATGGATAGGCTGACATTAGCATCGGAGAGGCTAGCCATTAGCGTGCCTAGGCTGGCCACTAGCTGACTAGTGACTCTCCGAGACATGCTAATGGCTAGCCTCTCCTATGCTAATGCCAGCCTATCCATGCTTAAGGTCCATCAAGGGCGTAGGAAATCCAGCTAGTGGCATGCCTAGGCACGCTAATGGCTAGCCTCTTCAATGCTAATGCCAGCCTATCCATGCTAATGGTCCATCGAGGAGGTAGAAAATCCATCTAGTGGCCAGCCTAGGCACGCTAATGGCAAGCCTCTCCAATGCCAACACCAGCCCGTCCAGGCTAACGCTAGCCTATCCATGCTAATAGACAGCAGAGGGAGTGTGTGAACCAGTCAATGACCAGCTTATGGCTGCTAGTCCCTAGCGTATCTAGTAGTAACACCAGTAAAGGTGCTAATTCTCAGTAAGCAGCACCAGCCTCTCAGTTACCGGCGCCAGCTTATCATTAATCAGATGAGTAGTTTGCTTCGGAATTTATATAGCCTCCTGCTGCTGGGCAGTGGTCTTAATTTTGGCCCCCATACAGCGCCATAGTTTTCAGACACATGTGAGAAAACCACTTAATTCATTATTTTCTTTTGTTTTAATTTCACCATGTCTGCAGCTATACTGTGTTAGAATGTTGTTAAGAGGCACGAAAGAATGTTTAATGCTAGCTTGTTCTATAGATTTGCTATTGTAGCTTTAACATATTCTGACACGCGCTGAATAGACTGTGGGGTCACCTTCTGATCTGTTTCAGGGTCACTGTTTTGGAGAGTTGACCAAAGAAACCTCCATGATTCTATCACTTTGGTCACGTTTTATCAGGGAAAGTCCAGGATCACAAGTCAGACCAGACCTCTTTGACGTTATAACAACAAGTCGGAGAGATACAACTAAGACCAGAGAGGAATTCTTTCTTATCGCCACAGACGTGGTCTGGCTGGTCTGATTTGAGGGTCTTATCAGTGGCGTAAGCTGACCGGTGATGAATTGCAGGAAGAGGGTTGGGGGCTCGGTAGTGAAACGGAGAACTGACCAGAGAAAGACCTTTTAAATGGTCTCCAATGTTTACATCTCGGCTGCTTCGGCGATTAAAGGCCTAATGAATGTCTGACAGGAAAAAGAACATCTGGGGTATTTTAAATTTTTACCACACGGACAGGACGCTTGGGTCAAGTTCACGTGAAAGTCAGATTATAAAGTAAATGGAAGCGTTGCCTACTCATGACAGACATGTCTCAGCTAGACCAGCCTGAAGACGTCACAGATTTTAAAATGTTGGAACGCAGCCCACTCTGCACACCGGCTGCGGTCGGCGAAAACAAAACCTCTCAGCTTCACAAACACATATAGTGTGTCAGGTTTAGTCCAGCCTGGCCATCGTTACATCCACGCCCAAGCTGGCTCAGCAGGAAGCAGCTAGTGTTACTTCAGTGTGTGTGTGTGTGGCCAAAAACATACTTATACACCAGAAAGGGAGCGCAGTGCTGATGGACAAAGACAGGATCGTAAAAGAAATCTGAGAACAGTCTCAAAAAAGTGGAAAGACAGGCATGTGTAGACGATCACAAAGAAGAGATGAACGAGACGAGTGTTTCCTTCCTGTAAACAGTAGTAAGTCCAGATTGTCTGTCAGACTACTCATCCTGATCCTCAGGACCCCGTTTCGTCACTTCAGACTTTGATCTGAGGCCTCGGCATAGATCCAGACAGGATACTAGTCTCTAATGATCCCTTGATAAGAATCTCTTTCTACATGCAGCGCTGCACAAGCGCCAAGGAGCCACGTCACATTCACAACAGCAGTAAACCGGTCAAACAAATCCAGCTGATTAGGGAATTAGAAACCATGACAGCCAACAGGCAAAGTATGCTTTATAATAGAGGGAGTGACTTTTTTCAGCCAGTAACTCAAACAAATCCCGTTCCAGCTGCTATCCCAGGCAGCGTTTACAGTGAGATACCTGTTTCTGACGGCTGACATGACTGACACCTTAGTGACATTCTGGAGCTCCGGAGAAGAGATGCTTGACCCTGTTGTTATACAAAAACAAATGTTTATAAGGAGCCTGTAGACGTTCTGACAACAAAGAGATTATTGTGTCTGCGCTGTCACAAAGGGAGGACACCGGATCCCTCTGATAAGGCAGGTTTCACAGACACGATCAGGAGAATGAAACCTCTGTTTGAACAGAGCAGCTCAGAGGTGTAATGTGTCGGAAAAGCATCCGGATTAGGTGCAGGATTCCCAACGGTCAAACCACTGCAGGCGTGGGGAAAGTTGTTTGAGTCCCAGCTGTTTGGCATTTATTTAATCCTGTGAAGCATCGCGCTGAATGACGTGGACAGCATCTGCATCACCCATCCTACTTGCTAAAATTCAGCAGAAAGCTATGAAAGTTTTTATTTTCCCTCCACAGAGTCCCTCTCACCCTTGTCCTGCCTTGTTCGGTGCTGAGAAACCTGTGCACAGGACCTGCAGGGGAAGTTTCTCAGGTGATCCAATGAGACGTGCTGAAGCATGCCGCTTTCACCCAAAAAAGCTCTGGGAATTTGGATTTTCTTCTGAAACACGTCCAGTTAGATTTATTCGACTTATAAAATCTTGAAAGCATTAAACTCACAGGAAGCTTGAAGCGATTTTTGTATTGTTGGTGGGAAATTCGCAACCAAGTGAAAATCAGTATTCTAACCCTAAGCAGGGGAGCAGAACTTGGAAGATTTCTCTTTACTAAACTGTATGATGTAGTCATCTTTGATACTTTTCTTCTTGTTTCTACAGGAATTAAAATGTGGAGGAAATATCTTATCCAACCACGGTTGCTAGGGGCAGCAGTAGCTCTGGAGGTGGAGCGGATCATCCCGCCTCAGAGAACTCAGCTGGTGTCCTTGGGCATGACGCTTAACCAGGGGCGTGTCCAGGGAGTGGCCTGGGGTAGCACATGCCACTCTTGGAATCTGATTGGCCACCCCAGGTACCAACACACTGATTTATCTTTAAATAGGTTTTTAATTGTCCACAAAAGGCTTGGGGGTTAAAAACAAAAAAGCATAACCATTGGTGCCACCCATGCACAAAGTTGTGCCTCACCTGGGCCACCCCATTTTAAAAGATCTGGACACGCCACTGCGCTTAACCTACCTTGTCTGCTGCTGGTGGTGGTCTGAGGCCCCAGCGGTGGCTGCATTGTAGCTCATCACCACCAGAGTGTGAATGGGTGAATCAAACACTGAAGTGTAAAGCGCTTTGGAGTCCTCTGACTCTGAAAGGTCCCACACAAGTGCGGGTCATTTATCATCATCGTGCATCTAATGAATGGAGTGGGTGGCCTCATCCTAACCAGTTTCTAGTTAGTAGCATGTGATGCTCGTTAACATGTGAGCATTAGCTCAACGAGAGCCAGCAGCTACAACAGGGTAAAGAAACATCTCTCTTCTGTGCTCGCAACCCGTGTGAAAGAGGAAGTTGGAGGGAATGTGAGGGGGGGGAGTCGTTTTGGACTTAGACCCGCCCCTTGAGCTGCTGCACGTTTCAACTAAAGGCTTCACTCCCCCTGCCTTGTCAGTTTGCCGATGACTAACTTGCAGCTCTTGACTGGATTCTCCTGACTGGGAAGCAGATGAAGTGTGGGATAAAAAGGCATCTGCTCCAAGGTAATTGCTTTGTGATTGTCGGTGTTGGTGCAAAATGCGGTTGGAGTAACTATCATCAACTTTTGCTTTAGATACCATGTAAGAAGTTGTAGTCATGTCATGTTTTTCACCAATTATTGGGAAGAAAAATGGATACAGCTAAAATATTTGCTAAACTAAATGTGCAGCTGCAGATGTTTTAAACTAACACTCTGGGAGACATTTAGGTTTTAAAATCTAGTCTTTTTTTGACACTCTGATTCTAATATTTTGAATGTTAGAAAATGTTGTTTCTAATTCAGAGTAGCTTGTTTCTCAGCAGCAGACTGAGTATGTTAAATTAGCCAGATTGAATGTCAACTTAGAGACGATGGAGAAAAACATCCCATAGCGACTCCAAGGAATGCCGCTTCAATCACCCAAGACTGTGAAACAGCTGCAAAGCCATCATTGATGTTTATGGGTATGGCTGGCAAATCCCGTAAAGTGTCAGACACATTGTTTCTCTCTCTTAAACCTCAAGGGTTTAATGTATGTTTTTTACAGTTCTGTGTGGCGAGGAATCAGCTCCATGCGGGCCAAGTCGAGCCCACATGTTCCGCCGGTTCCTGTCAAACAACCTTCGGGTGACAGACTCGACCTTTAAACTTTCAGAACATTTCGAGGGCTCGTCCCGTGTTGTGCGTCTGCCTTTAGGTTTCAGGTTTCACCTCAAGAACAGAAACAGCATTTTTTTATTTTTGAGCCTAAATTCAAACGGGGATTTGTTCAACAAAGTGTAGCATTGCATTAAAAATAAAACTTTAAAACTAATAGAAATGCAATACAAGGTTCTATAAACGGTTTTGGGTTTTGTCTGTTTTTCATCTCAGTGATTCACAACTGGATACGATCATTTAATCTTTGTCCTCCCTCAACATATTCATGATTGATCTTCTGTCTTTCTTCAGCGATCAGACCTTCACACCAAGCAGAGCTCGAGAGCACCGTCTTCTGGCAAACAGAGAAAAGAAGCAGACTAAACAGCCGGACTGCTCTGAACCGTCTTCATCTTCTCCCTGCAGCTATTAAAGAAAGCTCCAGATGTTTTCTCCTCTGTACTGCTACCATCTGTGTACCAACAAAATGACTTTATAGCTAAAACAACAAGTGGAGTTGAAGAAAAGCAGTTTTCAGCATGGAGAGCTATGCCTCTGCAGGGACCCCCCCTCCCACACACACGTCCTTGACTCCTTCATCTGACGGCAGCCTGGATTTCTTCTGGAAGTACCTTGACAACGCCGTCATTTATGAGCATTACAACTACACTGGCAAGTTGCAGAACGACCGCTACTGTGACAAGCTAAAACCAGAGAGCATAGCGTTCCTGGTGGTGTGTCTCCTCATTATCCTGGAGAACGCCGTGGTCCTCGTTGCCATCTGGAGTAATAAGAAGTTCCACGTGCCCATGTACTACCTGCTGGGAAACTTGACTCTGTCAGACCTGCTGGCTGGGATTACCTACACAGCCAACATTCTCATGTCAGGACATAAAACTTTAAAGTTGACACCATTGCTGTGGTTCCTAAGGGAGGGCGGGGTCTTCATCACGCTGGCTGCTTCGATCATTAGTCTGCTGGCTATTGCGATCGAACGCCACGTAACTATGGTGACAATGCGTCCGTACCATGGGGCCAAGAAGGGCCGGATGTTGGCTCTGATTGGTGCAAGCTGGGCCCTGTCTGCGCTTTTGGGGGTCCTCCCAATTTTGGGATGGAACTGCATAAACAGACTGGACCAGTGTTCAACGGTGCTCCCACTTTACGCAAAGAGCTACATTCTGTTTAGCGTGACTGTGTTCAGTGCGGTGCTTTTGGCAATCGTGGTCCTTTATGTTCGGGTTTTCCGCATCGTTCGCACCAACACGCGGCGCCAGCGCACGAGCCTAAAGAGCAGCGTGAGGAAGAGCTCAGTAAGGAGGAACCAGAAGTACGTCGCCCTCCTGAAGACGGTCACCATTGTGCTGGGGGTCTTCATTGCTTGTTGGATGCCTCTCTTCATCCTCCTGCTCCTGGACTTTTTCTGCCCCACTGGCCAATGTAAGCTGCTCAAAAAGGCTGACTACTTCTTGGGGATTGCCATGTTGAACTCGCTTCTCAACCCAATCATCTACACTCTGACCAGTAGGGACATGAGGCGGGCCATCCTCAAGCTGCTGTGTCGACCATGTCTGATAAACAAGGACGGACAGGTGAAGAGGATTGGGATGCCATTCCTGGAGTGCAGTTTTAGTAAGACTGAGTTGCCCTCTCAGAAGTTGGAGCCAGGACTGGAGACAACCATTTCCTCAGGGAATGGCATCGCCAGTCCAGCTACAATTAAAGCCCTCTATCCAAAACTCTTCAAGTCATAAGGACTTGAACTCTCGGACATACAATACTAGAGATTCTGAAAGGGTTCGCCACTTTTCAAAGAGCGTGTAGCACATCTGAGAAATAGGCTATGGTGATCCCAGATCTAGAAGCAAGGCATAAAATACAAAGAGAACACAAAACAAACACGTTTGGACTAATATGTCATTTCTGATGAGTGGACTGAGTTTACGTTTCAGTAACAGATCAACAACGATTATTGTGACATATCCAAATGCCGTAAAGATGCCTCTAAAATGAGAATGTGTTAGACATTTTATGAAAATGATGTTGGTGAGAAGTCTTTCTAACTCGGTTGTTCTCGATGTGACAGTTAAAAGAGAAAAAACACGTAGTTTCTGATTGAAGTACTCGGTGTGTGTTTGTGCAGACACCTGGATTTCGCTGGTCCGAAAGCCCATGGTGCACTAGGTTTAATGTCATACCATTATTTTTGTCCCTCCAACTCATGTATGTGTGTGTGATGCAGTAAAGGAGAGAGGGTGACAGAAAACAAGAAAAATGCACAATAAAAAAATTAAGAAACACTCCAACACGGCTGCAAAATGGGACCGACCTATTCAATGTTGGGTTGGTGCCCTTTTTAAAACGTCACTCAGACTTTTGCATTAAACTCTCCTATACACCCACGATGTCACAAAACAGCGTATTCACAAAAAATATATATAAACGTATTTATGCAATTTCTGTTGGGATGGTTATACTGTGACTGAAACGAAATCGGTGATAACTTGTAGTTTTCCCTTTGCGAACGAGCTGTAAATGTTTAATTAGCTGCATCAGGACTAAAAAGGAAAGGATGCTTCTGCACTTGCATGACAGATGATGTGAAATGGCAGCAGAATTACAGCCCAAGGCTCTCTGTCACCATTCTGTATGAAATCAAGCAGACATAAGCCGACTGTCTCAGTTCAGTCTTCCTAAACTTGTGGATGGTGTGCAGCCATTTCTGTCTATTTTGTCACATCTGTATTGTAAATTATACATATTTTGTAACAGGAAAGAGCAAACTTTCTTTTCATAAAAGAAATAAAGTATTTTCTACATGATTTAAAAGAGACTGCAGTTTTTATTTATTTTTTCATGTCATGTGCAACTTTCACAAATGAGTCTCTACGTGTATTTTCTTACGTTCCCTAAAGGTTGTGTGAAGAAGGACCGCAGGAAGTCAGCCCCCTTGTCTCACATCTGGTAATGACATTGGCCTACATGCATCAAGATCTGCCTGTCTGGCTAGAGCGCTGCGCAATACAGCTTTTATTAAATACAGAGCGCTCCGTGTTTCTCTTTCTTTATTCTCTTGACATGTAGGGAATATCAGCTAACACCTCATTCCACATTTGTCATGATTAAAAGTGAGGAAAAAACACATACAGATGGTTTTAATTTTGCTTCCAGAGAAAGATTTGGACGAAAAAAAAAAGAATCGGGGCAAATAAAAGTCAGTAAATCGTTCACATTTGCAGATTTATGTTCAATAAAATCTTCGTTTATGTTTGCATTGATTCGACATATCTCAAGGATTTCTAATTGCATTAAAACGTATAAGTTTGTTCTTGATTTGACAGCATGTATCCAACATCAATGAAACTGAGGGATTGACAGTACCACAGATTGGGTTTTAATTAAAGCAAATTTTACTTTTAAAAGAATAAACTCAGATTTTTGAGTTTGCTGATGTAAAGTAGAGAGTTGGATAACTTCAGAACAAAAAGGTTTTCATTGCAGAGGTCAAGAGACGGTTCAAAAAGGTTTGTGAGTTGTCATGGGACATGCCAATAAAAACATTTTGGCATAAATCTGTGGCTGCAGTTTGATATCTAATAGTGATGTGTCGGTCGCAAACGAACCGGCTCTAAGAGCCGGCTCTTTGAAGTGAACGACGGGAGCCGTCCCCTCCCCTCCCCTCTTGCTTTGGTGCAAGCCACAGGCGATTGGTCAGCATGTGTAACTGCGTGTCCAGACTGTCCACACACAGAGCAGTAGGGGCGGGGAAGAGGGAGGATCAGACTCAGACACACAGCAGAGCACATGCGGGAGGAGGGAGACGAGAGGGAATGAGGAGGAGGTAAAAGGAGAGTGCGACTAAGACGGTGAGAAAATGAGCGCCAGCAGTCAGAAAGTGTAGATTTCTTAAAGTGTTCAGTTATTAAATCCATAGAAATGATAAATATTTGATATATTGAATTTTTTTATATTAGTAAATCATTCTACACATAGTTTAGTATTATTTTGGTTATAAATGTACTCTACGCAACAGAAAATCTGAGTAGCCACTAGGGAGCCGGCTCTTTTTGGTGAGCTGAGCCAAAAGAACCGGCTCTCTTAAAAGAGCCGGAATTCCCACCACTAATATCTAGGGTGATAAGGCATGACTGTCTGCAACAACTGGAGCAGCTGCACTGGAAAACCTCAGATTTGATGAGATTTGTACCAGTGCAGATGTTTATCCAGATGTTGACTCTACTCACCAGGTTTTGGACGCAGTCCTTCCTCCTGTTGAAATCCAACAGCAAACAGGCGCGTTGAAAGTCGTAAGTCCGCGTGCACAGACACTTGCTGGAGGGTCCCCTTCCACTGATCTCATGGCAGAGCAGTAGTAGACTGATGCAGCTTCCACTCCTTAGGCCTGAACACTCAGTTAGCTTGTGGTGCCACCTTGTGACTGTGAGAGAGACCACTATGACCTGGCTTACATATTTTGTAACAGAAAGAACTGGTGTGTCATATACTATTGGTGTCAGTGCATGCCTGGGGCAAACTGCTGCTCAGAGCTGGAGCTGCTCACAAACATGTTTATCTCAAAGAAGAGTCCAGACAAGCACAATGAGTGTGTGAATGTGTGTGTGATTGGATGAATGGTACACTGCAGTGTAAAGGGCTTGGGAGTCCCTACTCTTGAGAGGCGCTATACAAGTGCGGGTCATTTATCATCTTTTATCATTTAGCTATGGGGTTATTATAGGTCAGATCTTTAGCAGCAGTGTTTTCATTTAGTATTAATCACATACTATTGCATTTTAAAACATTTGTGTTACAAGTCATTAAATAGCCGTTTGTTATTACAGTTATTGATTTCATGTAGCATTGCATTTTTCTTTTTAAACTTTTTACCAAGTATTTTCATTTTACGTTTAGGTGTATTAGAGCATGCTTCCCTTGACACATTTGATTAACTGTGAGTCACAGTTTTGGCACTGTGCTCCCATTTTGGCCTAGCTTTTTCTTCATTCTGAGAATTCCTTCCGAATAAAAGCCTCCTCCCTCGTGACGTACGTTTCTTCCATTACACGTTAACGGCGGCAGGTCTCGCGCTTAGGGGAAGACTCTTATTGTGAAAGTGAGGGGAGGCCGCCACAATTGCTTAGTCACGGAGTTACAGCTTTCCCCTCCTTCCTATGTAGCGAACTGCTCGAAAACCCATGATGGAGGAATTGAGCTAGTCTACGTGAGTGTCCTTTATTTTTTACAAATGTACCAAACCACTAACAGTCTAGAGAACCAGTTTGAACAGGTCTGAGTGCCCGCTGAAACCCAAGTAGCAGTACTGTTTTCAGGCTTCGCTTTGTTAGCGTTAACCTATCGACTCGCAGCCGTTACTCTAGTCTATTATTAGGAGTCCGTGTTGCTGTCAGCTCTATTTCCGTGACATTTTATTTGTTTCTATTGCGTCTCAGATTGTTTTTACTTTATTCTAATCGTTTTACAAACTTACAGCCGATGGCGTCCACCTGCTTTGCCTTTTGAACGCCTCCAGTATTTGATGAAAACGAGCTCAGAAACTGTGACCTTTTTAGTGTGCGAGGCAAAGTGGGCTTTGTAAGAAGCGTCTTCATGTCAGGTAGGTAGATGGCGCGGAAATCTTAATTCCGTTCGGGCTTATGTAAGGACGAGCTCCACTTCTGGGTCGTGTTATCGTACAACCAGCTCTGTTTGCTCAGTGAAGAGTTCACGATGAGTCATGGAGGAGGGAGGCTCAAAAATGTCAGTGAAACATGTTGTGCGTTTGTTTGGCTCGTTCTCGTCTGCTGGTTTAGTAGCGTTTAAATGGGTGAAAGGTCACGTTTAGTTGCCGTTTTTAGGCCCTGAAAGTGGCTCCAGATTCTGATGGTGTTGTACGTCACTGTAGGCAAGTTAGTGTGAAAGGATATGCTTGAGAGTCAAGTGTGACTAGCTGCAGATGTCCCTGCACAATATCCTCTCTCACTAGGTAAAGTGTTGTGGAGTTGCCTGAAGGTGATCTTAGAGGTTATGTCTTGTGAGGAAATGAGTCATGTTGGTGTTACACATTATTTGGTCTTTTTCCAGCTGAGGATTTACAGATGTTTATGTTTGGGTTGTTTTTTTTTCTTCCCAAAAATCTACTTTTGCAATTCCCTAAAGTACAATCAGTGTACTACAATAAAATGACGTGCACAACACAACTTAAAGGGTTTCTCTGACTTATCTGATGTCAGCCAAATCATGGCAACTTGAGCTGGATGACTTGTAGTTTTATCTGTCACGTCTCAAACTTATTATTTTTAAGTTAAAGTCCCCGGCGCATCCACAGTGACACTTGACCTACTTGTTTGTTGGTCAGCAGCTTCTGCACCTAGTAGAGAGCAAATGAGTTGAGCAATAAGCTCTTCTGTGAAACACTTCCTCAGAAACCTGGGGAAGATAAAAGCACCCAGTGACTCAGAACTTAAACCGGTTTCATGTTACAGTAAATTTAACTCACTGAGTGCTCACACACACACACACACACACACACACGCACGCACGCAGCCATCTGTTGATCATTTAAATAGAGTGAATCTCAAACATAACCATTTTAATTAATTTGCAGATTGAGGAGCGGTCATAGGTTGGTGACAACAAAGTCTTATCATCACGTCTCTGCACCATCTCCTGTACCCAGGTGATGATCAGTGTGTGTATGCATGTGTGTGTGCAGATTGTTTAGTTATATAACTGACCCACTCACCCCGTTCAAGGATCAGCAGACAGGCCGTTACAGTTAGTTGTATTGAATATACCACTATTAAAGGCAGTTCGATTTCTGAGAGGTAGTTGGAATGGCAGTGAAGTTCTTTCTAATTCTGCTGCATCCCCTTTGGCTGCTTTAGTGGTATGTGTGATGAAGGGTGTTAGTTCTGTGGAGCTTAGGCCATATGATCCAAGTAGATGTACTGGTTTCCAAACCAGTCTGCAAGAGTTGTTTATTTGTTTCCATTCAGCTAAATGCAAAACGCTGGAAGATTAAAATAAATCACATTTCTAATTCTAGTAGTTTATACTGGGAATGAGTAATAAACTGCACACATTTATTGTTATAAATTATTTTTCTTTATTTTTACAAGTGGCATCTTTTAAAAAGGTGTAGTGTGTATGCATTAATAACTTGTTAATAACACATAAAATGCTTAGACTATTTAAGAGAGTAGCCTAAAACTAGATCCAGTTATATTAAAGAGAGGATTAGTGTGCATTGCTGTGCATGCAGCAGAGAGGGAAAAGATGCTAACCAGTTCAGGGTTTCCCCTAGCACTTTATAAGCCTGGTAGCCCGCCAGGCTAAGGGTCACACCTTGCCCCCCTCCCCGACTCTACCGTGTCCGCTGACACGAACGGCGCAACGAAACTAGAGCCATCCATCAGCTGATACTGGTGAGAAACAGCAACGGAACGTGTGCAACCCCGCTCTCACGGAGGAGAGCTGTAGGATCGATTGTTACTATAAGAGAATAAACACTACAGGCCTTCCATTTTGTATAACACTGCTTTTATTGTGTTGTGGTTGGTTATGTTCTGGTGACGTGTAGAACTTGGGAGTGCAGGCGGCTGCCTGAGAGGTGGTTGGAGACGGAGTGTCTCCATGCTGCTTTGTTTTGGTCACTTATGAGCGTGAGGCGAATGGTGTTACAACCCTTTCTGGGGAGTTTGGCTCGTGTGCAAAAAGGAAGGGACAATAACACGGGATTTAAAAGGTAAAATGATGATCAGGTTTATTTACAACAGCAAAAAAACATAAATCGTTCCATCCACAGGTTGGGAATAATAAAACTAATTCTGCCTGTGGGGAATTAAAACAAAAGTACAAATAACTTGGGATGTCCCGCTGGGCAAAGATTACTGGGTTCTAGACCAAAATGAGGATCTCCAAATGTTTGTTTATTCATTTCGCAGACGCTTTTATCCAAAGCGACTTACAATTTATAACCTATGGGGCATGTTGTGATCTGTGGGGGAAACCGGAGTACCCGGAAGTAGTGATGTGTCGGTCGCGAATGAACCGGCTCTAAGAGCCGGCTCTTTGAAGTGAACGACGGGAGCCGGCTCGTCATTGGGAGCCGTCTCCCCCCCCCGCCTTGGTGAAAGCTACAGGCGACTGGTCAACATGTGTAACTATGTGTCCAGACTGTCCACACACAAAGCAGTAGGGGCGGGGAAGAGGTAGGATCATACTCAGACAGACACACAGCAGAGCACATGCGGGTGGAGGGAGACAAGAGGGAATGAGGAGGAGGAAAAAGGCGAGCGAGAGGGAGGAGAGTGCGACGAAGACGGTGAGAAAATGAGCGCCAGCAGTCGGAAAGTGAAGATTTCTTAAAGTGTTCAGTTATTAAATCCATAGAAATTATAAACATTTGATATATTGCTTTTTTTACATTAGTAAATTATTTTACATATAGTTTTGCATTATTTTGGTTATAAATGTACTCTACGCAACAGAAAATCTGAGGAGCCACTCGGGAGCCGAAAGAGCCGGCTCTTTTTGGTGAGCTGAGCCAAAAGAACCGGCTCTCTAAAAAGAGCCGGAATTTCCATCACTACCCGGAAGAAACCCACTCATGCATGGGGAGAACACGCAACTCAACGCAGAAAGGCCACAGCCGAGTTTCGAACCTGCGACCTTCGTGCTGCGAGGCAACGGTGCTAATCACTGCCTCACCATGCAGTCCAAAGGTCCAAACTCTAAACAGGGTGGTTAAACCAGACCCAAAGTGATATTTTAAACTAAACCGAAAACCCACAACACTCTAAATGTAATAAAAGGGAGATCTACGCCACAAAAAAGATGAATTTTAAACCAAAACGTAACAGCTTATCCAAATGCAAAAAGCAGTTAGCGAAAATGCTAACAGTAGCTTTACCAACGTTAAGTTCAAGTTACCAAGTTTAAATAAACCAAAAACACCCAGCAAACAGACCAGCACGGAGGAGAGACTGCTACCACAAAAACAGCTCTCCTAATGTCTGAAAGAAGCTCCTTTATGAAGGGAGAAACGCTCCCGGTGATTTTCTACATCTGCGGTAGAGACGAAGCAGCGCATTTGACCCCGGAAGTTGTTGTCCGTTGCCGGGAGACGAAGGCGGGCAAAACAGGAAAGGAATCTAGTAGCGAACAGACATTGTTCCTGGTCTTTGGTATTTAGGGATGGGTACCTCTGACATTTGAATCGATCCGGTACTAATTCCCGGTACCTACGAATCGATACCAGTACTTAACGGTACCAGTTTTCGATACTTTTGAGTGTTTAATGTTTTTAATTCTCTTTTATAATTAAATATATATTTTTCTCTATATATAACAATATTTGATAAATATCACGATAAATAACATACAACTGTTTGTATTTTAACATCGTCGTTGTAGTTTTATAAGTTGATAATTAAACTGAAGCAAACATCTTTACTGTGAACTAAATTTACTGTGTATCTTCATTCCTTTTACCGTCCTTTTTCAATTGATTTTTCCTACTGGGAAGTTAGAATTTCCAAGGAAAAAGCGAACGTACCATTAGATGATAACAATGGTGGCATAGGAAGCTAACATATCAAGCTAACGTTATCTTAAACAGTTTATTTAGCTGCTGGAGCAGATTAAAACGATGATGCCTCACACTTAAATCGTTGTCGCTGGTTTCATCTTCACCCAATCACCCGTCACATTTAGTAAAGTGAAGCCAAACTTTAGAGCGCGTTCATGTTCTTCTAGTCAGAATTTCGGAGTTCCGAGGAGAAAGCGAACGCACCATTAGTGAAACGGAAGCTAACGTTATCTTAAACATTTTATTTACCTACCGGAGCAGATTAAGATGAGGATTAGGGCTGTCGCGGTAACCGCAAAAATGAAATATCGCAATATAAAGAAGCCCACCGCGCTGCATCATGGGCCACCGCGATTACTGAACTTGGTTCAACTCAATGATGCATGTTGAGAAGGATGGCTGCACTGGTATCAAAACGAAACGTTACTTCGCTCCTTTGGGAGCGCTTTGGTTTTCAGTACGTCAGCTGCTGCGCAGCCAGAGTCATTGGCCGAGACGGAGCTGCCACCAGCGGCAAAAAATAAATAAATAATAAATGCTCGGAGACCTGCTGAAGTCCCGGATAAGCACTGCTTCTGCAACCGTCCCGAAGAGAGTTTGAGCCGAGCTGGAGCTCACTCGCTACCTGCAGGAGGAATGCATCCACCCTAAAGAACCCCCCTGACATGGTGGAGCGGATAGATTCCCTTTGCTCGCCAGAGTCGCACGCAAGTTGAGTTCGGAAGCGAGCGGGGCCGGAGCGGAGGGGAGCGGAGGTAGTGGAATTTGGGGTAAGTGCAACGAGCGCACCATCCGAGAGGGTTTTCAGTGTTGCTGGAAATGTTGCCACCCCTCTCAGATCCTCTCTCAAACCGTATATGGTTAACATGCTGGTTTTCCTTGTGGGTAACAAGGACGTGACCGAGCTATAAATCACCGTTATTCGTGTGTGTGAAAGTGAAATGATAGTGCGCCCGCCCCCCGGCGCGCGCGCGCCCGGTACATGCAGTTTTTTATGCTTGATTTTAAACAACTAAACAAAATGGGGACTTGTTTCTTATTTGTTAGATGCTGCAGCCAAATTTGCATTTAAAAGTTTAACCTTCTCCTGAATTTTGTTGTTTTTAAGTTCAGTCGGACTCCGACTGTCGGAGAAACAAACGTTACTGCGATCTGTGTTGTTACTGCCCTTTGATCTGCATTAAGTAAAGCGTTATAAAAGAAGGCATGGCAATTTTTAACCTTTTTTAAATGTGTAAACATTATGTTTAGATAGTACTGCAATAAAAAAAAGGACTGCAATAATATCGCATACCGCAATATGAAGCCACCCTGAATCACCGCAGGGGGAATTCCTCAACCGCGACAGCCCTAATGAGGATGTCTCACTTAGATCGTTGTCGCTGGTTTCATCATCACCCAGTTACCCATCACATTTAGTGAAGTGGACCCAAGCTTTAGCGTGCGTTCTTTCTACCATGCTGCTCTGTTTACAACTCGCTCGCAGCGACCGATGACTTAACGCTCTTGCGCATGCGCAGCTGTCTAGGCAAGTTCTCGTTGTGAAGGTCGGGTACCGAAACGAGGCACCGTTTCAAATGAAGTGAATCGGTGCTCGGTCGGTACTGTGGAATTCGGTCGGTACCTTAAAAAGTACCGAATTCGGTACCCATCCCTATATGGTATTTGGTGGAGATGTTAGTGAAGGCGGAGAAGGAAAAAAGAGGAAAAACAGACAGATTCCTCCTCTATTTACAAACTCCTGGGGATGCAACAAGTGGGCGTGGTGCGTCGACTTCCGGATCTGACGTCGACAAATTTTTAGAATCTAGTAGTCGACGTCATCAACGCTTCACTACAGCTCTAATACTGATATCAATCTGATACAATATCAGCACAAATCATGCATACTTTAACCTATTTCATAGTGTGAAATGTATGATAGGCTTGATCAAGTGATATTACTCAATCAGAGAACAAGAGGCAATAACAGTAAGTATGAAAAAAATGACAATTTTTTCTTAAACATTGGTAGCAATAATATGAACCTCAACGGACTGCTTACATTGGAGATTTTTGATGCCAGCCGATATAATCCCATACACTATTTTTGGGCTGATATCAAATAACTTCCGATATTGGAATGGTACATCGCTAGTTTATGAATGGCGAAGGTTTTGTAACCATTTGTTACAAATCAGTAAATGCATTTTGTCCTCATGGGCTCCTGTAGAAGGAAACATGGCATCTAAGTCCCAATACTCTCACTGCGCCCTGCGGTCCTCAGCAAAGTGCGCTTGGAGGAAGTATGCAGTAAGGCTTTGAGTGTGTCGTACAGAGGTGTGCAAATAATTTGCGAATTGGGCAAGGGAGCATTCCGTCAATGACCGCAATGCAACGCTGGGATGCTCGTCGCTGTGCTACTTTAAAAAAAATCTTAATTAACTCATTCACTGCCAGCCGCTTCCTGATTGCTAAAGGCCTTCGCTGCTAGTGTTTCTCACCATTTTTACAGTTTTTTTAAGAGTGACAGAACGTTACGAGCTAGGATGATGTCAACGCCAAAACAGCCAAAACAAAGAAGAGACTCACCTCTTACATCAGGAAGAATCCGCGTGCTTCGAGCGTTATCCGTTCTTTCATAATCAGTTGTCGAATTGTGATCGGGACTCATTTCCGGTTTGCGCCTCACTTTTTATTTTACAGGAACGGCCCAAAACAATCTCCTAACACATGAATTTTCTGCTTCCTGATCATGTGACGTGTGACGTATGCGGATTAAGATCGGCTTCAGAGCTGAGATGATTGTTCTCTCGGCTCGTTCCGATACCCAAACAGTAAAAATATGCAAATGCAGTGAACGGTTGGATCTAAAATGACGACTTTAGTCATCAATGGCAATGAATGAGTTAACTTTCAAACAACCAGACCATTATTTCAAATAAATTTACATTCATTACTGCTTTGTCTAAAACATTCAGAGCATCAACTAATCGTCCTAAAATAAACTACTTTCATTTGAAAGTACAACTTTTCAGAAAAGGCACTTGAGCCTTTTCTCATGCAGCAATGAATTGTGGGTAATACACTTCACCCAAGTCCGCATCGATGTGGACTTTGGTGAAGTGTGGATCAAGGGTGCAAAAGGGGTGTGATCAACTTCCACACTGGAGAATCGGTACACCCTACGCACTCGCGCCCCAGATCGTGATCGCGCAATAGAAGGGCGCCAGTGTGGAATAGCAAGTATTGGGATTGGGCCAAATATGGCGTCACCCAGAGACTTGGAACCGCTCCCATGTATTTATACCTGATTTTTATGTTTATATGTTACGAAGCCGTCAGTATTTTTCAACAACTGATGAATTTTTCTAAAGATTAATGGTAAAAACTACACATAGTCTCTTTAATAGAGTTGGGCATTGAGCATCTGTTGGAAGTGGGAGTCGGTGAGTTTTTCCCGGAATCATTCAAATTTTTTAAATTTCGATTCCCAGACTGCCGACCAGAAGAAGAATCTGCAACCGATCTCTGAGAAAAATACTCTGCTCTGCAAATTCTGATCAACACCTTTCAGAGCTGATCACACCAGCTGTCACTCCTACTCTGTAGCCCGCAGAGACCCTGAGTGTGCAGCATCAGGTTCCCTCTCCCTTCTCCCACACGGTGCAGGCGCGCAGCAGTAAATATGTAAACAAACACTTTCTGCTGAACTTTTACTCCGTCATGTAAACTTTAATTACTGCAGCGAAAAATAAAATGTGGAGGAAGCTGGTAAAAATCCGTCAGCATGGTGGATTTAATACAAGTTTTAACGAACAAACTCCGGACAGTGTAAGGTGCGTTTGACTCACTGCAGAAATAAAAAGACTGAGCATCAACAGTCAGACGCAGCCACTCACCAACACTCGTCTATGTGAGCGTGACCGTCAAAAGGCTGAGCAACAACCTGTAAAATAATTAAAGTCATCTTCTAGATCAGCCTTTCTCTGTGGTGGATGACATGGGGTTCTGGCCACTAGGAGCCGATAGGGATAATAAATCAATAAATATAATAAAAAATCTCACTAAACAGAATTGTGAGATTATTTTTATTTGTATTTTGAGTAGGGATGGGTACTGAATTCGGTACTTTTTAAGGTACCGACCGAGCACCGATTCACGTCATTTCGAACGGTGCCTCGTTTCGGTACCCGTCCTTCATAACGAGAACTTGCCTAGACAGCTGCGCATGCGCAAGAGCGTTATGTCATCGGTCGCTGCGAGCCAGTTGTAAACAGAGCAGCATGGTAGAAAGAACGCACGCTAAAGCTTGGGTCCACTTCACTAAATGTGATGGGTAACTGGGTGATGATGAAACCAGCGACAACGATCTAAGTGAGACATCCTCATCTTAATCTGCTCCGGTAGGTAAATATAATTAGCTTGATATGTTAGCTTCCGTTTCGCTAATGGTGCGTTCGCTTTCTCCTCGGAACTCAGAATTTCCGACTAGAACAACATGAACGCGCTCTAAAGTTTGGCTTCACTTTACTAAATGTGACGGGTGATTGGATGAAGACGAAACCAGTGACGATCTAAGTGTGAGGCATCATCGTTTTAATCTGCTCCAGCAGCTAAATAAACTGTTTAAGATATCGTTAGCTTGATATGTTAGCTTCCATTGCTACCATTGTTATCAGCTAATGGTGCGTTCGCTTTCTCCTCGGAAATTCTAACTTCCCAGTAGGAAAAATCAAATGAAAAAAGACGGCAAAAGGAATGAAGATACACAGTAAATTTAGTTCACAGTAAAGATGTTTGCTTCAGTTTAATTATCAGCTTATAAAACTACAAGGATGATGTTAAAATACAAACAGTTGTATGTTATTTATCGTGATATTTATCAAATATTGTTATATATTGAGAAAAATATATATTTAATTATAAAAGAGAATTAAAATAATAAACACTCAAAAGTATCGAAAATTGGTACCGTTAAGTACCGGTATCGATTCGTAGGTACCGGTAATTAGTACCGGATCGATTCAAATGTCAAAGGTACCATCCCTAATTTTGAACTATTTAGTCTGAGAGTTTTATTGTTTAATCTGTTAGATTGTAACTGACAGCAGCTTCATGTAAGTTTCAGTTTCCCTTCTGACTGAAGGGCTGCTGCATCATGGACATGATCATCCTGAGAGTTTTAGGTGAAACCAGCTGGACTTTTCTGGTTATGTTGAAGACCTTTGCCTCTCATCCTAGAGGCTCCTTCTGTTCCCATACTTTAACACACTGGTTGTGCTGGAAGTCTCTTTCTTTCTTTCATCAAATCACACTTTTGTCTAAATGAAGGTGATGTTGTTCATAGAATTAAAACTCACGTTGAAGTTGTGATCATTTCATCTAGTAAGACCTGTGGTTAGCTGGCTCACTTACAACTTGTATTTGGATCCTGCCACTTGAAAGAATTGGAATGGGGAATCGATAGGAACCGGAATTGAAAATGAGGAATTGGAATCAGAATTGTTCAAATTCAAACGATGGCCAACTCTACTCTTTAACTCATTCGCTGCCAGCGTTTCTCACTGTTTTTACTGTTTTTTGTAAGAGTCCCAGAACAGTGCGCGCTAGGTTGATGTCGACACCAAAATGACCACAACAAAGCGGAGACTCGCCTCTTACATCAGGAAGAATCTGCGCATTTCGAGCTTTATCCGTTCTTTCTTAATCCGTTGTTGAATTGTGATCGGCAGAAGCTTTTCCGGTTCACGCCTCACTTTTTTTACAGCAGCGGCCCAAAACGATCTCCTAACACATGGATGTTCTGCTTCCTGATCACGTCATGTGTGGCGTACGTGGATGAAGATCGGCTTTAGAGCTGAGATGTTTGTTCTCACGGTGCGGGAGCTCGTCCGACGCACACACCGTAAAAAAATTCAAATGACGACTTTAGTGACAATGGCAGTGAATGAGTTAATAAAGTTCTAATAAAATAAATAAATAAATGTAATATTGTGACATTACAATGAATGATCTTGTTTTCAACTAAACAGAAGTATCTAATTTTATTAGATTTCAGGTTGAATTGTGTTGTTGGGATCAGACGTTCCTTTAACAGTAGTGTGTTAGTATATTTGGACCGTGTGTGTTGTTGCATAAACGTCTCCTGTCCCAGACAGAGTAAGAACACACTGTCATGTTGGCTGAAACACTCCAGCCTCATTTAAATCACTCCAGTCCGTTTGAATGGCGCTTCTCTTCAGGGCCTAGGCTTGTAAAGGATGCTGTTATGTAGTTTTTATGTTTGTTTGTTTTTTATAGTTTAGGCAACTTTGGGTTTTAATCATTCTATTTGTATGTTTATGGGTAAATGACCCAGAGGATCATGGGTATTAGGTGTGATTCTTGTTAAACCTGTGGACGTTTATAAAAACAAGCTGCATGTTTGCCCCTGATCTGCGGTAATTAAATAGAACAAATTCAATACAGAATGAACACTAGTGATTTACATGTAAACCTTTTTCCTTCTTAGTGAACTGCTTCTAGGCTCTGGAGAAAACCGTCCCTCAACTCTCCCCTCTTCGTTCCAAGACGCTCCAAGTGGTGCTTGTGACTCATCTGGCATTCAACTGTTGTTGCTGTTTGGAGCTGCTGACAGCTTCACCCTCAGCGTCTCATCTGACCCCCCTAAGTGCTGCGCTTCATTTCTGTCCTTCTGAAGGAACAGGAGACTTTCTGTTCCTCCTCCAGGATCATCTAATCGTTTTGTAGCACTTTGCATAAATTTGTCACAGCTTAACATCACAAGGTGATTCAGAGGTGAAATAGGCAGTCTGACGCTTTTAAATCATAAGAATGATTAACAAGTGTCTTTCGACATCGCCGAGAAGTGGAAAGGTAAACAGTTGTGTTGCCTACACAAACAGCTGAACTAAAGTGGATTGCTGAGTCATCGTTCAACGTTATCTTTCTGCAAAGTTGGACAAAACAACTTTAACCTGAATGATTTTCATCATGTTGGAACTGTGTGTGACGACACACTCGGACATGAGCTGCAGCTCACACACGCCGCTCCTGTGATGCCATAGTCAACAACATGACTGAACTCGGGTGCTGAACAGTGCAAGAATACCTTAGAAGGACTTTAATTTGGACAGAAATCAGGGAAGCTCTGGAGGATTTAATTTTACCCGTGTCTACGCGTGGTGCAGGGATGCCCCATAACGCTGCTCGCTGTTCCTGAGAAAGAGCTGGAAGAGGTGGAGAAGGTCCGTAGGAAATGACAGAGTGTCTGACAGAATGCAAAGCGCTGGTGACTCCATCCACGCGCAATGGTCACCGGGTCTTCAGCTACACGCTGGAGAGTCACACTTCAGCCGCCTTCGCCATCATGAACGAGCTGCGCCTGGAGCGCCAGCTCTGCGACGTAACGCTGCGTGTGCGCTACAAAGACCTGGAGGCGGTTGACTTTGTGGCCCACAAAGTGGTGTTGGCCTCCTCGTCACCCGTCTTCAGGGCCATGTTTACCAACGGCCTGAAGGAATGTGGCATGGAGGTTGTCCCCATCGCAGGAATTCACCCCAGGGTGAGTTGCTCACTTTGTTTTGAGTTCGATAAGTGACATTTTAAATACTGATGAGTCATTTCACTTAAATCAAATTCAGAATTATGTTTTAAAGCCTTCGATCCAGCGATCTGGTTAGCCTGAACCACATAGGTTTGGTTTGTGGTAAAGACATTTCATTTATCACAGCTGGTTGCTGGGTTTCTAATCAACATAACCTCTGGTGTTGAGTGGTTGGATCAGATATGGCACGATGGATGTAGACCCTACCATGTTCCTCTTCAGAGTTAGGGCTAACAGTTCCTCTACCTCTGTAGGTTATGGACAGACTGATAGAGTTTGCCTACACTGCCAGCATCTCTGTGGGGGAGAAGTGTGTCATCCACGTGATGAATGGTGCGGTCATGTACCAAATCGACAGCGTGGTCAAGGCCTGCTGCGATTTCCTTGTCCAACAGCTTGACCCCAGCAACGCCATTGGCATTGCCAGCTTCGCTGAGCAGATCGGCTGCACTGAGCTCCATCAGAAGGCCAGAGAATACATCTATATGAACTTCAGCCAGGTACGGCCTAACACCTTTTATTCTTATTTATTAGTTTTATTTTATTTGAAATCTACCCATTGGAACAGCAAACATTGTTCTAGAAGACGTTATAGGTCATTTAGAATTAATTTGGCGTTATTTTGTTGTGATTTGTTCTGAAAGTAGTTGTTCACCGTGACACTAAAATGAAACCACCAATGCTGCTAGCTACAGAAGGAATCACACAGGGAGTGTTTTGTTAATAAATGCTTCACTTTATCAGCTGTGGTTTTCCTTTCCGTTTCAGATCTGTGTGACATGAAAAGGCAAGCTGCTAGCATGTGCTAGCTTGTGCTGGGCTTTTTGTGTCATAAAGGCTTCAGCTACACCTGGCTGTTTAGGATTTTTTAGCTCTCTTCAGACAATCACAGTTTGACAGTTATTAAAGTGGCATGTGTGCCTTCGACCCATCCGCCCTTCCTGGACGGTGTAGTTTCAGCTCAACTAGACAAGCATGATTTTCCTTTTTAATTACATGATGGTATTAAGGAGTAAATGGCTGCAGGACCACCTGAGGCAGAGCCACAGCTGTATTGTAGGTGGCTCAGTGACCATTCGTCACCTCAGAAGTACAGGTGATACCTCGTTTATCGTGGTAGATGCGTTCCAGACCTGAAAATCCGCGAAGTAGGGACACCATATTTACAGTACAGTACTATATTGAATGATCTATCGTATGATCACATTCTCTTTTTGTGGGTAAAACTCAAGAAAAATTTTTTTTACTTGGTTTTTTATAGTTTTATTACAAAAAGTGCATTTTATGATGAAATTGATGAAAAAACCCCAGGAATTTCTTGATATTTCGCATAGAAAAATACCGCAAATCGGTGAAAAATACAGCGAATCGGCGAATTTCCCTTGAATAAGGCTCCAAAGAAGAAATCCGCGAAGTCGTGAATCCGCGATAAACGAACCGCGAAGTAGCGAGGGATCACTGTATTTTTCATTGAAACAGCTTTTTTGTTAATGTTCTAAATAACCACTACTGGAACACTGGGATGACCCAACTCCTCAGCAGATTTAAGTCTTCTAGCTTTAAGGTGACTTAAGTGAAAATTGTACCTAATTTTTTAAATCACGTTCAAAACTCACGATTATTTATTCTGAAATAGGACGTTTCTGCCAGGCTTGACCCCTGGTGACACCAGAAGTTCCTGTTGCTGACACTCGTGCTCGTCAATAACCACAGAATCACATATGAGTACATGATGTAAACGTTAACTCATTCACTGCCAGCCGTTTCCTGATCAGAAAGCCCCGGACTGCCAGTGTTTTTGAGCGTTTTTACTGTTTTTTTTGAAGAGTCACAGACCATTGTGCTCTATGCTCATGTAAATACCAAAACTTCCTAAAGAAAGAGTGCTTACATCAGGAAGAATCCGTGTGTTTGTAGCGTTATCCGTTCATTCATAATCTGTTGTTGAATTGTGAGCAGCAGAAGCTTTTCCAGTTGGCGCCTCGCTTTTTTCACACCAGCGGCCCAAAACGATCTCCTGATTAACGGATTTTCTGTTTCCTGATCATGTGACATGTGATATAGACGGATGAAGATCAGCTTTAGAAACGGGATGTGTATTCTCACGTTGCAGAGGCTCATTCCCACGCTCGCCCAATAAAAAAATGCAATTGTCGACTTTAGTCGACTTCAGGTTGAGACCTCTCAGCTCCGTTTACAGCAGCTCAGGTGAAACGGTTAGAGGAAATCCACAGACAGTCATTATAGTTGTGGGACAAATGTCTCCATGTCTCTCCTTCCAGGTAGCAACCCAGGAGGAGTTCTTCAACCTGTCCCACTGCCAGTTGGTCAACCTCATCAGCCGCGATGAGCTCAATGTGCGGTGTGAGTCCGAAGTCTTCCAGGCATGTGTGGCCTGGGTGCGCTATGACCGGGAGAACCGGAGACCGTATGTCCAAGCCTTACTCCAGGCTGTCCGCTGCCACTCCCTCACCCCTAACTTCCTGCAGACCCAGCTCCAGTCCTTGGACTGGGACCCTCAGTGTAAAGACTACCTATCCCAAATCTTCCAGGACCTCACGCTCCACAAACCCACCAAAGCAATTCCTTGCAGGACGCCCATGGTGCCGCAGCTGATCTACACAGCGGGGGGTTACTTTCGTCAGTCTCTCAGCTACCTGGAGGCCTACAACCCCTGTACTGGAGCCTGGCTGAGGCTGGCAGACCTGCAGGTACCTCGCAGCGGCCTGGCAGCTTGTGTGATCAGTGGGCTTTTCTACGCTGTCGGGGGCAGGAACAACGCGCCAGACGGGAACATGGACTCCAGTGCTTTGGACTGCTACAATCCTATGAACAACTGCTGGCGTCCGTGTGCACCGATGAGCGTTCCCAGGAACCGGATCGGAGTCGGCGTTATCGACGGCATGGTTTACGCTGTTGGTGGTTCTCATGGGTGCATTCATCACAACAGTGTGGAAAGGTGAGCGATACGGCTACACCTCACAAACCACAGCTTACCTGGTTGTAGTTCCCAACAGCAGGCACACCTGAGCCACAGGTAGGATGTGATGTTAGGATTTAGTTGTCATTAGGCTCTGTGGTTTGCCTCGGTACAGACTTAGTTCTGGTCTGTTTCCTGGGTTAGGTCACCGTGTAATGGTAAGGTAAGGGATCAGATCATGATCTCATCTTCTTCAGGTTTGTTTTTCACAAGCTGCTACAAAAAATAATGAACAAAAGCTCAGGAGCGTACAATAGTTACAGAATTTAATCAACTTTTTTTATTTACTCTAAAAGATTTGCTCTGGGCTAAACACCTGGTGTGTGTGTGTGTGTGCGCGTGTGTGTTATGTGATTCCTTTTTACTAAGAAATCTTGGCTGAAGGTAGTAACTGTTTCTAACTCTGACTTCAGTCAGAGATGTCAAACGTTAACCCGACAAACTACGGTTCCTGTGAAAGAGGAACAACCCCCTCGAGTCTGAGTCGTCACCGAAGCCAAACATGTGACCCGTCGCAGCGGAACTGAATGGTTAAACTGATCAGAGGAATCCGTGCTGTACAGTTAAAGACTCGTTCATTCAGGCTGATGATGGCTTCTTCCTCCAACTGTAAAGAGAAACCCTCTAACAGTTCCTGCTTGGCTGAGAATAAAAAGGGGAAACGGTTAAAAATACCTTCTAGACACTGTGTGTGGATCTGACCACTTGTTTATATTGTTTATATTTATACTGCCGTTAGACTTGTGAACAGCTTATAAACACACAACCATGCTCGTCTTCGGTACTTGACATAACATCACGTTATCGGCCATATTACCTTTACCTGCCATTTTTTATAGCAAAGTTTTATGCTAGTTTATTATATTTTATTCTACTTTATTCTATTTTTTAATTATATTATTCATGTTATATGTAGCACGTTAGTACCGAAGCAAGTTCCTAGTTTGTGAATTGTTTGTTCACTGACAATGGCAATAAACCTTTTCTGATCTGATATAAAGGTGAGAAATGTGGCCAAATTAATTTTATGGACGTGTCTTTTAAAATGAGTTTCAACTTCATACGTCGTAACAAACAGCAGGGTAGAAGGTGAGTGAATGATGGTATGGAAGTGCCTGTACTATTTAAAGTTTGACAGAAGTTTGCTTATTACAAGCTGTCAGAAATCTTAAAACAACATCAGCATCCTTTTTACTGAAGTAGAAGCTAACGCTAAATCATAAACCTCCTTGTGTTCCTGATCCCGTTTCCCAGATGATCAGAACGATCCTTGTGTTGGTTGTCACAGGTACGATCCAGAGAGGGACCAGTGGCAGCTGGTTGCCCCCATGTTGACGCGCCGTATCGGTGTGGGCGTCGCCGTGATCAACAGGCTGCTTTACGCCGTCGGGGGGTTTGATGGAGCCAACCGGCTCAACTCCTGTGAGTGCTACAACCCTGAGCGGGACGAGTGGAGGACCATGGCCCCTATGAACACCGTCCGGTCTGGAGCTGGTAAGGAGGAAACGGGAAAACTGCTGAGTAATGATGAACTCAACAAACTGCCATGTTGGAAATTTACAGAACTGGTTTTGCAGGTTAATCCATGAGTCGTCCGTTCTTTCCATCTTCGATCAACATTCAAAAATCAACAGAATGGGGAAAATGGCAGATAATGTTTTGATACCAAAACACAAAAAATGCCAAATTTTATTTTTGTAATCAATCGACCGATGATAGTCAGTTCTCACACAGTTCAGTTTTGGCTTTCAAAGTAAAAGCAGATGACCAGAAACCAGAAGAGGATAAAAATACGACCGTAGATTATGACCCGAGGGTTTGAGCTCCATCCGTTTTCACTCAGACTCTGTCCACCTAAACTCGTCTTCGGGAACCAAACAGTGCTTTTAATGAGGTTTACAGTCTATCATGGGATACTTTTATTTTGAAATATATTTTTCAGATCCAACTAAAATCATTGTCTCTCATTTGGCTTTAATACAAGAAGATATTAAATAGTAAAACATTAATCATTAAATACCAAGTCAGACTCTGCAGAAACTTTGTGTAGTTGGTGAACTTTCATTGTGAAATTATCAATCAATCAATCAATCAAAGCTTTATTTATAAAGCACCTTCCGCAACCCTGTCAGGAAGCCCAAAGCGCTGAACATGGTTCAGTTGAAGGTAAATATATTATGATGTTTCGGTCGGCACATTTTCTGTAAATAATGGTGATAGGGCAGAGAATATTTTCAGAAAATAAAGTTTTTGATGGAGCTTTAATTTAGAGATTCTGAATGCTGTCTGGAACATTTATAAGTGGTCAAATCTTAAGTCATCTGAAACTAAAGTTAGTCTCACACGTGACTTGATGCAATTTGCTGGGTTCCTTATATAGGAAACATTATTTCTGATTGGCTTAATGAACTGACCTGAATTGGAATGTTTATTATGTGAAGTGCCTTGAGACGACTCTTGTCGTGATTTGGCGCTTCATAAATAAACTTGAATTGAATTGAATTGAATTGAATTGGGCTTTTGTTCTGAAAGTCAACAAAGCAGTAATCCCACATGAATCATTTCAGGATCAGGTTTGATTCTCTAGCCATAATCTACTCTGGTTTAACACCAACAAATGACTCAAAACTTCATGCAGCAGTTAAAAATGACCAAAACAACTTCAGCTCAGCAAGTAAACTGATGAATTTAGGGTTCCTTTTCAGTCGATTCACTCGGTACAACGAAGGTACTATGGGACATCACGCCCTCGTGTGGCCTGGCTGAAGACACATTTAATCACGCCTGTAAGGCAAATGAAAGTGACGCGGCGTGGAGGTCCCGCCCTCCACTTATAAGCGGCCACTGTCATTCCTCAGGTCTTACGCTCTTCACCTCGCTGACTACACATCTGACAACTAGCTGCGCTGTTAAAAGATGGCTTAACCGCTCGCTGACTGGACTACTGCCTTCTGGCTAGCATTCCTGCCCACCGAGCGCTATCTTTTTTGGCTCTTCAGCTTCTGTGCTTCGCTCCGCTGGGTGTCTTGCAATGAGCACTGTGTTGGACGTTGCTTCAAGGAAAGCCGCTTCGCGCCCCTGTCCTCAGGGCTGTGGATTCTTCTTCACGGGAAGGACCTACAAGAAGCATGCCCGGTTTGTCTGGGAATTCTCCACGCCAGGAGAGAGCTTGTGGAGCCAGAGGCATGCGAGTTCTGTCGCCAACTCCGTCGTCCCACGCTCGAACGGCGCGTGAAGCTTCTACAACGTCTCCTGGGAGACGCTGCAGTTTCGTAGCAGGACCCCGTACTTTCCCGTTCGGTCCCGGCTTCGCCTAGCCCTGACGTGGACAGCCTAGTGATCAATGTCCCCGCTACTAGCTGGGCAGATCAGATGGAGATGGCGGACAATTTAACCGGACCAGACCTAAAGGCTTCTCAGTTTCCTCCTCTGGCAGAGGATGAAGGAGACACTTTGGACATTTGCCCCGACGGTCAGGACTTACTCGAGGACGAGGAGGTCCTCTCGGCGGTGGAGTGTTCTGCTCCGGTCGCTACTTCAGCCTCCGAGCTGCGAGAGGACACTTCTTTTCTCCCGCTCTGCCGGCGTGAAGCGGGGAGGCTAGAAATGGACTGGCCCGCTCCTCCACCTGCACAAAAGAGGTCCCGCTTTTCTGGATTTTACCTCCCCTCGGAACCAGCTGAGGTAAAGAACTTTCTGCCACTTTACCCGGATTTTGTGGCTGAGCTCACGGCATCCTGGGCCAAGCCGCTATCCACCCGCACCACGGTCCTGGGTTATGGCTGGTTTTTGGACCTCGACGGTGCAGAAATGGCGGGATTGTTTAACCTCCCTCCGATGGAGCCCTCTCTCGCGGCTTACCTGGCCCCGACCTGCAATAACAGAGTTAATGGACAAACTAATCTGCCCTCCAAGCCATGCCGCTTCTCAGCTGCACAATTGGAGAAGATTTACCACGCGCAGGCTTCCACTGCCCGCGTCCTCAGCTCTTCCACCATGCTCCAGACCAACCAAGCACTTTGCCTGGCAGACCTTGGAGCAAGGGTCCCACCCGACAGCCCACTGACCCCCCTCATCAATGAGATATGGGTCACGTCGGACTACATCCTGCGAGCTGCCCGAGGCGTTGCTCTGCTGTTGGGAAGAGATATGGCCTCAATTGTAGTGGCTCAGAGACACTTGTGGCTGACCCTTTCTAATGTCCCCGACAGGGACAGGGCTAACTACCTGGACGAACCTGTTTCACCCAGTGGTCTGTTTGGACAGTCCCTCGATGCTATTCAGACAAAGTTCGAGGCCCAGCGGAAACGGACTGAAGCGCTACGCTCCATCATCCCCAGACGGGAAGGGTGGCGCACGGCACCTGGGTCTGACAGAAAGAACCTGACCTCTCCTCCTCTAACTCAGAGGACAGCCTCCCCAGCGGCAATGAAGGCCTCGGTCCCAGCTCGGACCCCGCCTTTTCCTCCTCGCCACTCCGCCTGGAGTAAAGGCCCTCCTGGGGACTCACAGAAACGCTCTGTCATCCACAAGAGGAAACCTCAGTCGTCCTGATCCGGGATCTGACTTTGTTCGGGTTTTGGACCCTGTTGGACTACAAAACCCCAGTTTTCTGTGGTTGAGATGGACCGGTTCAGCTACGGTTCAACCCCACAGTCCAAAGAGAATTTGTTTACCGCCCCCAGGGGGCGAGAGTTGTACCGTTCACAAAAACATGCACACAAATGTAATAAAGACTGCTGTTTGCACTCGACAATGTGTGGATGCAATGTGTCTACATTGCTTCTCAAATTGGCCCCATAAAGCTGCGTCAACCGGCTCCGCTGGTGAACGACAGCTCAATTTTCACATAAAATCCTGTCTGCAATTGGCCTCTGTGGGAGCGGGAAAAGCTGTGTTCTCCCGCTCTGCTGAACAGCAGCTTTCCTCCGGTGGCAGACATGATGTTAAGAAAGCCTCCCTTTCCGCTAGAAGGCAGCAGCTCCCCCACCAGGGCGCTGAGTGGTTGCCTCGCGGAGAAACTTCACCTCTGGTGAGCTTGCGCAGTGTCCCCCTGGGTCGAGCGCACGGTTACCATGGGTTACCGACTGCAGTTCCTGGTCAAACCACCCGTATTTATCTCTGTTGTGCAGACGTGTAAATACCGACGCTGCGGTCGTGTTACGGGAGGAAATTCAGACTCTACTGTTGAAAGGAGCTATTCGAGCGGTTCCTGTTGAGGACACAAACAAAGGTTGGTACAGCCGCTACTTTGTTGTCCCAAAAAAGGGGGGCGGACCTCGTCCTATTTTGGATCTGTGTGTGTTTAACAAGTATCTGCGCACGTACAGGTTAAAAATGCTAACACTCAAACTGCTACTGGACACAGTCAGTCCCGGAGATTGGTTTACTACGATTGATCTCACAGATGCTTATTTCCATGTTGGAATCCATCCCGATCACAGGCGGTTCCTGCGCTTTGCTTTTGAAGGGAAGGCCTGCGAGTACACTGTTCTGCCTTTTGGGTTAGCTCTAGCACCCCGCACCTTTTCGAAATGTGTGGAAGCTGCACTAGCCCCTCTCAGGGAGGAGGGCATCCGGATCCTCGTTTACCTAGACGACTGGGCTCTAGTAGCGAGTTCCCGAACACAAGTAGAAGCTCCCACTGCACGGGTACTTTCCCACGTTCAAGGCCTGGGGTTTTCTGTGAACTACAGAAAGAGTTCTCTAGTTTCGAGTCAGAGTTTCTCCTTCCTCGGGCTGGAAATTTGCTCTTGGTCAATAAGAGCGCGTCTGTCGGACCAGCGAATAGCCGCGCTACGCAGCTGCTTATCGCGCTTTCAGCTGGGTGCCAGACTGACACTCTGCACAGCTCTACAGCTGCTGGGGATGATGGCTTCCTCCATAGCAGTGGTGCCTCTCGGACTGTTAAAAATGCGACATTTCCAGCGTTGGGTCCGCTCTCATCATCTCCATCCGTCACATGATCTCCGCCGGAGGTTGACAGTCACCAGAGCCTGCATGGTAGCTCTCCTGCCATGGAGAGAACCAGGGCTGTTCTGCCAGGGTTCCCCTATCGGGAGGGTGTCAGAACGCATAGTGGTGACCACAGACGCTTCCCTCAGAGGCTGGGGGACTCTGTGTGGGGGTTTAGCTGTGAGGGGGGTATGGTCCTCGACCCAGTCAAGGTTTCATATCAACTTTCTGGAACTTTTAACCGTGTTTCTGGCCCTGAAACACTTCAGTCGTCACCTGAGAGGACATCATGTGCTAGTGGGCACAGACAACACAACTGTGGTGTCATATGTAAACAGACAGGGAGGAACAGGCTCTCTTCCTCTACTGAATCTGACCCACACATTGCTGCACTGGTGCAATCTGAATCTCCTGTCCTCAGAGCAGCTTATGTCCCCGGGTACCTCAACCACTGGGCAGACTTGCTCTCCAGGGGCGGACCTCTGTCAAAGGAATGGAGGCTCCACCCCAAGGTGGTGTCCCAGATCTGGCTGAGGTTCGGCAGGGCAGTAGTGGATCTGTTTGCGTCAAACGTAAACACACATTGTCCCCTTTTCTTTTCTCTGATGGATCAGGCTGCTCCAATGGGATCGGATGCTCTGGCGCACCCTTGGTTCAGCGTTCTCCTCTACGCTTTTCCGCTGGTGGAACTGATTCCAGCAGTACTGGCGAGAGTGCGCAGGCCAAGCAGGTCTCTGATTTTGGTGGCTCCTCAGTGGCCCACAAAGTCTTGGTACCTGGAGATCATCAATCTGATGATAGCCCCCCATGGAAGCTCCCCTTCAGACAGGACCTTCTGTCACAGGCACAAAACCTCGCCCACATCTGTGGAAGCTAGGGCTGCTCGATTATGGCAAAAACAATAATCATGATTATGGTGACTGAAATTGAGATCACGATCATTTAGGACAATTTTTCAATTAATGTTGATTTTATTTGTTTTTATTCTGTCATAAAATTGCTCAGGGCACAATCAGGACAAAAATAAATAAGAAACAAGATGATCACTAAAATAACTCCTGATTCCCAGTATAAAAAGACCAATATACTTATAGCTCATAGTCTATGACCCAAGGGCTATAGTCCTTGGTTTAACTCATTTAAGTCTAACCAGTACAGACCCAAATACCAATATCTTGCAGATACTGACAGCAAGAATTATACAGTGGCATTTATAACAAATAAATGCAAATAAATTGATGTTCACAAAATGTTGTATAACATTTATAGAGTCGTGTCAAGGTGCTGTAGGAGCGTGCACTAGCACTGTGTCCTCGAGATTATTTATTATTTATCAGCGTGAGGAACTTATTTCTACCTTATTTATAAACTACTTATTTACAGGTCCATCAGTTAATGTAATAATTGTCCCAACCACAGCTGCACCCCCCAACCCGGTCTCACAGCAATCAGGGGCAAGCTGCACGTGTGTTTAGCTTGCTGCACGCGCACATTTAGCAGTTTTAGCGGCTCAGGAGTCCGCAGGTGCGATGTGTGTCACTCACTCTGGTTAATCCAACATGGAGCCGGCTCTGAGAGCTGTTTCTTTAGCGACTGACACATCACTAAATCATTCCCTTTCCTAATGTCCTGAAGAACGGTCCGGAGCGCAGGCGGAGTGTTTAGCTAACCTGCAGGAAATGTCGACAGTTATCCAGAAAGTAGCTAAGGATTACCAGAGAAGTTTCTGAGGTGTTCGCTAGGTACTTTTAAGATTTAAAAAGTCAAGAAGGGGGTCTGAGAAGCTGTTGGAAATGGCGTCAAAGTCGCTAAGTTGGCAACACTGTGGGAGGAGCGCTTCATTTGTAACTCAGGGCAGCGCAAGTGGGAGGAGCAAATAATCTGCTAGTTTTGTTTTTTTAATCTTTCAAAACTCAGATCGTAATCGTGATTAAAATTCGATTAATTGAGCAGCCCTAGTGGAAGCTGCAGGCCTTCCTACTGAAAGGTCCAACCTGTTAGCTAAAGGTCTTCCCCCGGCTGTGGTGAATACTATTCAGAGCTCAAGAGCATGCTCCACTCGATCAGTATGAATCTTCTGTCTTATAAGACAGCTCTGCTCTATGCCCTTCTATTGGCTAAAAGGGTGGGAAACCTTCATGCTCCTTCAGTTCACCCTTCCTGTCTGAAAATGTCATCAGATGGGAGCTAGGGCCACTCTGCATCCGAATGCTGCATATTTGCCTAAGGTCATCCCGCTCAACTACAGTTCCATAACCATAGAGCTTTCGGTCTTCCATAGTCCTCCTTTTGCCTCTGAGGAGCAGAGGAGACTGCATTGTCTGTGCCCTGTTCGTACTCTGCAGGCTTATATAGATCGCACTCAGAGTATCAGAATAACAGACCAACTGTTTGTGTGTTTTACCAAACCCTCCATGGATAAAGCTTTGTCAAAGCAAAGACTTTCTCATTGGATTGTGGAGGCCATTTCCCTGTGTTACAGCGCCACTGGCTCCCAGCTGCCCCTAGGGGTCAGAGCACACTCTACTAGAGGTGTGGCTGCTTCTTGGGCGCCGTTTAAAGGTGTTTCAGTTGGTGACATTTGCTCAGCTGCAAACTGGGCTACACCCCACAACTTTGTGAGGTTTTACCGCTTGGTTGTTTTGGCCCCTTCGGTGGCCCCTGCTGTTCTCTCTGCTGGATCTGACTTGCCATCTTAGGTTGCAATCTCAGGCCCGGTTTGAAAGCTGCTCATGGGGCGTTTCGATAAGTCCCACAGTACCTTCGTTGTTCCAAGTGAATCGACTGAAAGGGAACTTTAGGTTATGCGTATAACCACTGTTCCCTGAAGGAGAGGAATGAGGTACAACGCAGGGCTGCCCCATTTCACAGCCCAGCTGGGTGAAGAGCGGCTATCGAACTGAGGAATGACAGTGACGCGGTCGCTTATAAGTGAAGGGCGGGGCCTCCATGCCGCATCACTTTCAGTTGCCTTACAGGCGTGATTAAATGTGTCTCCAGCCAGGCCACACGAGGGCGTGATGTCCCATAGTACCTTCGTTGTACCTCGTTCCTCTCCTTCAGGGAACAGTGGTTATATGCATAACCCAACGTTTATAGTGCTGAATGATGTCAGACCTAACACCATTTTACTCAAACATTAGAAAATGACCATTATAAAGAGGATTATTGGTGATTGTTGGTGTGTTTTTTGCCCCGCTGTTCATGTCTGTTAGTCTTAAAAGGTGTTGGTGGAACTGTGATCATTTACACCCTAATGTGTTTGAGAGGAAATCAGCTGAGCTCTTAAAAGTTAAACCAAAACACGCCTGCCAGGTGCAACCAAGCATCTCTGGTTATGAGAACAACAGGTGACTGTTTTCTAGATGAAGTAATAGCTCAGTGTTCGTCTAGATAAAGATAAAATTCATGAACGAGTCCCTGTCTTGTTTCAGGAGTGTGTGCACTTGGCAATCACATCTACGTCATGGGCGGATACGACGGCACCAACCAGCTGAACTCGGTGGAGCGCTACGACGTGGAGGCCGATACGTGGAGCTTCGCTGCCTCCATGAGGCACAGGCGCAGTGCTCTGGGAGTCACGGCCTTACACGGACATATTTACGTCTTGGGTCAGTAGTTTTGTGTTATTTACATTGGGTACGGAAAAATTCAGATCCCCGTGTATTTATTTTATTGTAGCTGTTTGCTAAAATCTATTAAATTCATTTTTCCCCATTAATGCACACACAGCACTCCAGATTGACAGAAGAACACAGAATTTTTTTTCATTTCTGCAGATTTATAAAAATAGACTACGTGAAATATGACATGGTCCTAAGTACAGAGCCTTTGCTGTGACACTCATATATTTAACTCGGGTGCTTTCCATTTCTACTGATCATCCTTGAGATGGTCCTACACCTTCACTGGAGTTTGATTATACTGATTGGACTTGATTGGGAAAGCCACACACCAACTCATAATGCAGGTCAGAGCAAAAGAGAATCATGAGATCAAAGGAACTGCCTGAAGAGCTCAGAGACAGAATTGTGGCAAGGCACAGGTCTGGCCAAGGTTACAAAAACTTCTCTGCTACATTTAAGGTTCCTAAGACCACAGTGGCATCCATAATCCTTAAATGGAAGATGTTTGGGACAACCAGAACCTTTCCTAGAGCGGGCTGTCCAGCCAAACTGAGCTACCAGGGAAGAAGAGCCTTTGTGAGAGAGATAAAGAAGAACCCGAAGATCACTGTGGCTGAGCTCCAGAGATGCAGTCGGGAGATGGAGAAAGTTGTAGAAAGTCAACCATCTCTGCAGCTCCACCGGCCAGGGCTTTATGGTAGTGTGGCCTATCGGAAGCCTCCTCAGTGCAAGACATATCAAAGCCCACATGGAGTTTGCTAAAAGACACCTGAAGGACCCAGACATGGTGAGAAATAAGATTCTCTGGTCTGATGAGACCAAGATAGAACTTGTAGGTCTTAATTCTACGTGATATGTGTGGAGAGTAAGGTTGGGCGATGGGACGAGTGGGCTGAGCCGTTACGGTTGTTTTTTTACAGAAGACGGATTTGTTTGTTATTGACGAATATTTTATATGCTAGGCACAGAGAACATCGCAGAGGTAACAATCAAGAGAAGATCTCCATCAGCGCATCTGAGCCTCATCTCACCTCCTCCGCCTCTGGCAGCTGAGGAGGGGTTTGGAGAGCAGCTGTGACTCACTCGACATCGTGCACTACAGTACGACGTTGAGTGGAAAGTGGAAACTCTTCTGTCTTTCAGAGTCTGGAAGACTTCTGGTTATTTCATTTGGAGAAATGTTTCCTGATTTAAAACTTTGGCTGAAGTAGCGCTCGTTATTCAGCTCGTTATGACAGCTATGTCAGCAGAGCACGGATCCATCCAGAACATTATTTTAACAGCCAAGAGTCTGTCTGAGGCTAAAGTCTAGTCGCTCATAATCAGTGGTGGGAATAACGCCGTTTAAAATAACGGCGTTCTTTTTTTGGGTAACGGAATAATCTAATTAATTACTTTTTTCACTGTTGCAACGCCGTTACCGTTACTGGGGACGGGAGGTTGTGCGTTACTATGTGCTTGTCGAACGTTGAGCAGCAGTGTGAGGCTTTCTGACCGCCACACTTCAGCTGCAGCCAGGGAGAGAGAGAGGTGTCGGTAACACACTTACAAACACGATGATGATTGGCTGGGTGGGCGGAGACCCTCACCGTCTCAGTCACTGCCTGCTGTAGACACAACAGAGCAGTGATGGGAATAACGCCGTTCAAAATAACCACGTTACTAAAAAAAATATTTTTTCATTAACGAGCAATCTAATTAATTACCGTCTTTTATCAAAACGTCGTGTCTGTTAGTGATGAGAAAAAGCGTGCGTTAAGCAGTGCGGTGTGTTGAAGCTGTCATCAGCTGATAGGAGCTAAAGAGGCGGATGTTTTCATCCAAACCCATCACAACCCGCGAAGAACGAGGAAGACGTGATGAATAGTGTACGCCCTTCTTAGCGGGACGTCCCGAAGGTCCACTCACCTGTTCACCGCTCAGACGTCCTGATCTTCTACCTTCCTAGATCATCCAGCTGTAACCTGTTCCTGATCATGTCTTTAGTCCCGCTGTAACACTGATGCATCAGTCTCAGACGTCATGGAGCTCAGGTGTTATTAGAACTACCTGTGTGTGTTTACCCCCCCAGCTTCAGCTCTTCTGTGTTTGGGTCTGACCCAAGTTAGTACAAGTAAGTCCTCCATCGGGCTTGTGCCTCTTCTAGTGTCATTTTAAAGGATTTTATTTGTTTATTTAACCATTACTAGATTACCAGCAACAGAAATGCTGCTAAAAACACACAATTATGTGAAGCTGGAAAAATTAGAATACTATACAAATTTACTTTTATTTCTGTAATTTAACTAGACTGAGACACCATTTAAAGGCTCGGGAACCTTTACAGGTGTTTCTATTTGCAATTTTAAATTTTAGCTGATTGGGATCTTGTTAAATATCTCACAGTGATATTTTAATAGTCTAGATAAGTGGAATGTTCCTGTTAGTAGTTCCTCCTGTTAAGTGCTTATTTATTTAAATTATTCGGGTTTATAAAAAACATTTGCACATACATTTTATTATGTTCCAGTCATTAGTAATTTATATTTCATTATTTTAGTCATTTAAGTAAGTTTAATTAAGAGGGGAATCCACTTTTCTTGCATTCTTTAATGAAAAAAGTAACTAAGTAGTTATTTTTCTTGGTAATTAGTTACTTTTATAATCTCATAACTCGGTAAGCACCTGAGTTCCTTTTTGACAAAGTAATAAGTAACTATAACTAATTACTTTTTAAAAGTAACATTCCCAACACTGCTCATAACCTCTTCAGCAGACTCCCTAGAGACATTTGATTACACACAAGCTGCAGGTGACCAGTTCAGGTTCACGCGGCGCAGGAGGAATGTGCGTTCGAGCCGCAGCAGGTGAAACGTTCCTAATTTAAGTGAAATCGATGAATTGCATTGTTCGTGTTACTGAGGCATTCTGATCAGCTTGGTTAGACTAAATATTAATTAAAATGAATGGAAATTTAGCGAATGATTAATAATTTAAAGTGACAGGGATAAATGGATCATGTGACCTCTGGCAGTGAGCTGCCACCTCAGAGTGCGTCCAAACGCAACAGCGACTCATTCCATCCCCCACTGATGTTCATAAAGAAACATTTTGCTTAAATAAAAACCACAACAGTGGGCATCAGAGGGAAACAAAGACGAAGCTTCTTTTTAACATTTTAACTGTGTTTAATACGAGCCTTTCACACGTCACTCTACCAAAGTTAAACAAAAAGAACAATATAAATTTCTCTTCCAGCAAACATATCTCTAAAAAAATCTATGTTTTGGGCTTCTTCTTTGTTCGCAAATCAGTCTGTGCGTCATGGCGTCACACACACGAATAAATCATCCATCGTCATTTTTTGGACTGACGATTGGCGGTGGGAAAAGTTATACAAATCGCCCAACCCTAGTGGAGAGCACCAGTCACTGCTCATAACTTGTCCAATACAGTCAAGCATGGTGGTGGCAGCATCATGCTGTGGGGGTGTTTTTAGCTGCAGAGTAGGTTGACTGGTTGCAGGGATATCCTGGGCAACAAGGGCTTCACTAGGACTGAGAGATGGGGGCTTAGCCCCAGGAGCTTGACATGGAACATTTTTTGTCGCACTCTGCAAAGAGTTCGTCAATTAATTCATTATTTGAAGAACATTTAACAGAACTTATTTTATCACTTTCTTTACCAGCGGTACTGGTTCCGGCCCAAAGCACTGCTCTGTCCCTAAAAAAAAAGATATGAATCTGATTATCAGCCACTGATCATCATGATCGGTTCCTGACAGCCGCTGTTTCTCCCTCCCCAACCCACCCAGTGCACCCAGCGTCACGCGCTAATTCAACTGGCCCAAAAGCTCCACCTTAACCTGGTTCTCCCAATGATCACATGCATCTGTGGCCAGAGCTTTCTTCTTTTTTAATGTCTCCTTTTCTGCTCCACCTTTCCTGGCCCGTCTCGATCCGTTTTTCCTCTGGGCCCAAAGGTACGGTGATGCGGTAGTGCGCTCTGGGGTGGGAGGGTCTCTGCAGCGCTTGGCCAGACCCCAACAAAGTGAGAGGGTGGAGTGTCTTTGTGCTCAGTTTGCTGTGTTTGTGTGAGCGTCAGGAGAGCGGATGCCCTGATGAGCTTCATGACGGGTTGTTCTTTTAGATCAGGGATGCCCAATCCTGGTCCTGGAGGGCCAGTATCCATTAGGTTATGTGGTTTTGCTGCTCCAACACACTTAATTCAGTGGTTGAATCACCTGTGTAGCAGTTCATCAGGCCCCACAGAAGCCTGTTAATCACCTGCCGATTGAAGTCAAGTGTGTTGAAGAAGGGTTAAAACCAAAACCTGCTGGATACCGGCCCTCCAGGACCAGGATTGGGCACCCCTGATTTAGGCCCTGTCCACGCGTAGCCGGGGATTTGCCAAAACGTAGATGTTTTTCTACGTTTTGGCCTGTCATCCACACAAAAACAGAGTTTTTTCACACGAAAACGGATCTTTTTAAAAATTCCGGCCAAAGTGAAGATCTGCGTTTTCTCCGTTTTGGGTGTCTGCGTGTGGACAGACAAAACCGGAGTTTTAAGGTCCGCAACGTCACTTTCCGCGACAAAAAAAATGCTGACATCACGTGTGCGACCTGTGTTTACACCAGCCGGCATCATGGAAGCCTTCAGAGCTGCGCTCTGTCACTACCCGATCCATCGATTGTCCAAGCGCTTTCTGCTTGTTTGTTTTTGCAAGCGGAATTACTGCTCCTTGCGGAAGACCACAGACGAAGGACGAGGTTAAGAACGGGGAAGTACTGCCACCTACAGGTCTGGCATGTCCTTAACAACGTATTTATCCGGGTACGTGTAGACAGAGTTTGTTTTTAAAACGCGGTGGTGTGGATGCAAGTTTTTGGAGGGGCGGATATTCGTTTTTAAAAACCCCGGCTACGTGTGGACTAGGCCTAAGATATCATGCACATCGTGACCGTTGGCAATCACTGAGTGGGCCAGGCCACCGGGAAGTCTCCCGTTTCCCCCGATTACCAGTTCGCCACTGCCAGCTGCACGGGTCACTAAAATCTGCACCATTTCTAAAATTTTAACCGAAAAAAGAATTTTACCCAAAATAATTGTGGGACTTTGGAATGGACCTAACAATGTCTCGTGGCTTCATGGCATTGAGCATCTCTGGAGAGACCTAAAAATGGCTGTCCACCAACGTTCACCATCCAACCTGACAGAACCAGAGAGGATCCCCAAATCCAGTGTTAAACACCCTGAAGTCTTCTGCCCTCTGCCCTCCTCCTGGGTTCCTCCTGCTGCAGGCCTCTGTCCTCTGCAGTCCTGCCTTCCAGCACCAGAGGCCAGCAGAGAGGTGTGGACACAGCTGCACCTCATCACCAATCAGCTGCTCCATGCAGACTTTTAAGCCTCCTCAGCCCTCCATTCGGAGAGACGCGGTGACAGAAGCAGGCTGTGGTCTCCATAGCTGGGTTTTGTGGCTGACCTCATAGACTTTGTTCTGAACGCAGTTGCTAAGGTTAACCTTTGGGGTTGAGAAACTCATTTTGTGATTTAGCCTCCAGCCCTCAGGTTAGTTTGGTTTTGGGTTCTGCCACTGAGGACTTCTAGTTAAGAGAGTGTTTGCTTCCTGTCTTTTAAATAGAAAGACTTTTGTGTTGTTGGCTTCTTTTGGGTTTTAGTATTTGAATAAGGTTTAGTTTATATTATTTTATGTTCTGTGTGTTCTCCCCCTTGCCTCTCCTAGACGGCCAGAGGGGATGTAACATCCAGGCATAGAAACTTTACCAAGACGACTCGTGGCTGTATTAGCTCAAAAGGTGCTTTTACTAAAAACTGAGCAAAGGGCCTGAATACGTAGGACCATGTGATAATGCAGTATTTTCTGTCCATATTGGGTGCTGTGTGTACATTAATGAGGAAAAAAAAACATTTATTTGATTTTAGCAAATGGCTGCAGTATAACGTAGTGAAAACCTGACGGGGGTCTGAATACTTTCCGTACCCCCGTATACAGCTCATCCCATGAGTCGTGAACAAGCTGACTAATGGGTGGGAAACTGGATTTTGTTCATGTCTGTATTTTCCAGAATTTCCTATATTATGATCACAAGGTTTATGATACACCTGACTGTAATCCTGCAGATTAAACAGATCAGTCTTAACGTCACTCACCAGCTCTATAACATCCTTTAGTTGGAAGATGACCACCGATCATAACCCTTTCTGTGTTCCTGAGTTTATCTCCTGCTCGGTGCTTCCCCACTTCCTGTTGCTGCTGCTCCTCCACGTGGTTTCTAGTCATTAATTCTGGAGCGTTGCTCCAGATCTGATCTGCCCATCATATCTGACTCTGATGGCTGCTGGTGGAGCCTGGTGCACTGTGGTGGCTCGCCACACACCGTCACCCTGCCGATGGTAAATTCCAAGCTGTACGTTCTGTTGTTCCTGTATGGATCCGGTAGCTCAGCTGTCCCCCGACCTCAGACTTGAAATTCTACTCCATTTAACTTTTCTGGATGTAATGATTAATGCAGTTTGAGCCGGCAGGCTCACTTTTCTCTGCACAACACCTGCAGCTACAGCAGCAATTTGTTTATTAGAGTTTCTTTATCTGTCAGCTGTCTCCATGTTTCTGTCCGAGTCGCCACAGTGAACTGGGACTTGGTGGAGACGGGTGGTTTGCTTTGATGATGCCTGAAGGGAAAACCGACCCAGTGGCCTAGTGGTAGAGTGTCCGCCCTGAGATCGGGAGATCAGGGGTTCGACTCCTGGTCGGGTCATACCAAAGACTTTGAAAAAATGGGACCCAATGCCTCCCTGCTTGACACTCAGCATTAAGGGGTTGGATTGGGGGGTTAAACCACCAAATGGTTCCCGAGCGCGGCTTGTCTGCAGCTCACCGCTCCCCCAGGGGATGGGTCAAATGCGGAGAATAAATTTCACCACACACCTGTGTGTGTGTGTGTGACGACTAAATGGGACTTTAATCTTTAATCTTTAAAAGCTGAAAAAAGTACTTTTGTTTTTTTGAGGGTGGTGTAGCATGCAACTGACTTTTCCAGCATATACCCAGTACCCAGTATGCACACACAGTATCTGTTACACTGCCTTCACTGTCCGGCTTCAAATCCCACCAAACCAGAGTGTTTAGTTCTCCCGAGGAGGCGCGTTAGCTCTGTGTTAGCCTGCTAGCTAACAGCTGCATCTTGGTGGCCGAATCCCTGCCTGCCTTAAATAGTGTGATGTTATGGTGTTTAATATTAGAGGAACTTGTTGAAATTAAAACTCAGCCTTTGTTGTTCGGTTGTAAAATCTCCATCTCAGGATGATTTTAAGTCAGGTTGTTTAAATCTGATCCTTTTCACCCGATTTGGATCCTTTGAAAGTCATGTGATCGTATCGGAGCATCTCTAATCTGCAGTTCGTGGTTCACCCTCTTCCTGCGCACCGGTAGCTCAAACTGAAGCTCTGAACACGTAGGAGAAGGCAGGATCAGGTTCCAGCCGTGGTTGTGACTCTGTGTTGTTCTTTTTCACTTCTCAAACCTGTTCCCAGAATAGCAACAAGGTGAACGTCTAGACGTTTGATGTGTTTTGGACGAAAACATCCGCTAAAAGATCTTAACACGTCAACCTTGTGCTTCCAGGTGGTTATGACGGCACCACATTCCTAGACAGCGTGGAGTGTTACGACCCAGAGACGGACACCTGGTCGGAGGTCACGCACATGACGTCGGGCCGCAGTGGCGTGGGCGTGGCCGTCACCATGGAGCCGTGCCAAAAGGGTCTGTCGCAGCCCTCTGAGGATTGCCCGTTTTTGTCAGGTGGTCAGCCTCCCAGCTGGAGTAGCAGCAACAGCCAATGCCACGGCGAAGCCTTCCACAAAGAGCCGTGAAGCTCAGAGCGGATGTTTCCGGTTTAACTCTGCCCTGATGCAAACTGGGACAGAGATGAGCTGAAGCACCACATCCTGCCTGACTGAGTGTAGAGAATAAAAATAAACACCGCTCCTGTTTTCTTCTCACTTGTTGTTTACAACAGCGACCGTAAATATCAACAAATCAAGAAACGACCTCCAAACATTCTCGTTTTCCTGTTTTCTTTGGGTTTAAATTCGTCTCTCACCAGAAAAAGGGCTGTAATCCAAAACTAAAGCAGGCAGCAGAGGTCAAAGTGCCATTGGTTCTGTCAGTATATGTCAGAGATGTTGTGTTGGGGAGACACACCTGGGTGAGTCTGCTGTTCATCGTGATGAGACCAAAATCAGCCTCGTGTAACAATCTTTTCTATCTTTCATTCAAAAATAATCTAGATGGATTCTGCCAGGCCTGCTAGCAGGTGGCACAGAGCCTGTGTCGCTACCCGACATCCAGAACTTCAAAGGAACCACGGCCGCTGGTGGGTTCAGAAAATGTGGAAGTTTAAGAAAAAAGGTTGCTTGTCGGCTCAGGCTCAGATTCTGGTGTGGTTGATGTGCAAAGCACAACTAAAATGAAGAATTAAGATTTTGTCTGTGATTAGAGGAAACAGAATTCACCGTAGCGTTTGAAAACCTGGATTCAGACTTCTCACTGAATGTGTTTTATACATATATGTATGTGTGTGTGTATATATATATATATATATATATATATATATATATATATATGTGTGTATATATATATATATATATATGTATATATATATATATATATATATATATATACATATATATATATATATATATATATATATATATATATGATTAAAAAAACACTAATCTCTGACACGATCCAGGAAGGCCCACGCCCAGTGACCATGTCTGTTCTCTGGTGTTTGTAATGTTGTATACTAATGAGAATCTGCTTAAATACACGTGTTTGTTACAGCAATTTAAGCTACGGACACTTCAGATGTTTTGTACATTGATAATCTAAGACGTCTTGTACAGAGTTTCAAAGTTCTTTATTTATTTGTTCAGAGCTTTTTTGTTTTGTTGCTTTAAACTGACATCAGCTTTGTATTAAATGTTGACTCATTGTAGTATTTTGAATAAGTAGCATGCTTGTAACTGAGTGGGAATGCCTAATCGTGCATTATTTTTTTGCTGTTTGTTTAAAAGAAAAACATTTGCCCTGAAAGTTTTCTGCTGTTAATCAGTAGCTGCAGTGGAAATCAGAACATTTGTTGGCTTTGTACGTTTTTTCCAGCAAACATCTGCATAAACATGTTTCTTGTTATGTTGTACTCTTTTCCTGTTACACACACACACACACACACTTTGAGTGTTGGCTCATGATGGGGTTTAGCATCCAGGAAACAGAGAATGTCTCAGGTAGTAGAAGCTAACCATTAGCATTAGCAACTCCGCCACATGGCAGAACCCCTCCAGGCTTGTGTTATGTTTTTATACTGGAGCAAACAGTCAGTGGTAGAGTCATGTTGTTTTTAGGCAATCAGAGGCAAGCTGTCCAAATATCAGGAAATAAGAAACCAAACGCTGCCGTGTTCTGCTCCCCTCTCCTCCGACTAACTTCAGCATCCTGAAATAGGAACGACGCACAGCATTCAGTTATACCAGCGACTACTGCAGATGTATGCCCTCTTCAAGAATAATTATAGAAGATAAAATACTTCAATGGGCTCAGTGATGTAACAATGGCCTGCCTGCCCAACTAGAGCAACATTCCTGTATTATTACAGATTAAGTACATCTGAAAGAAAAGTCACTTCAGTCACCAAATTCTGATGTTGTAGCTGAGGTATATGGAATCCACCTAAAAGCTCCTAAATCACTTTCCTGATGTGTGATCGGAGTCTACGAGCTGGCATGGTGTCTCACTAGTGATCACTGCTTATAGGAGATGGCTGGACCCTGCTTTAAGGGGTTAAACGGTAAATAAGTGGAACAGGACTGAGTCAGTCCTGTCATCTCAAGCTTCTTTTCATATGGTGAAGATCCAAAAAGCTCAAAGACACAAACCACCACTAAAGGGACGGCACCTGCTTTGCTGGATTAGCTTCATATTACCTGCAGCATTGTGCAGCAGACAGTAGATGGCAGCAGCTGAGTTGGAATCTGGCAAAGATTAGCAAGTCTTCTGCAGACTTTTGCTTTGACAGATGTTGAGGGTTGTGGAGCGTGCACAGTAGAACTACAAGATAATCAGACAGACATCTGCCAAGAGTTTCCTGGTGTTGATTTCTGTGTAGATATGTGATTGTGGGTGTTTCAGACATACTTTAGTCACCAAAGACAGGATTATTTTTTTCCCTGCAAAATTTCATGTTCCATCGAGTAAACGGGCATAGCCTGTGTGACAGATGCAAGATGTCAGAGTGAAGCCCTTTGGTGTAGAAATCTAGCCTGGCCTGCCAGACTCGTTCTCTGTTGAATTCTGCACAGAGAAAGAGTCTGGTAACTTACAGACAGAGAGGCACTAGAGGGACGGGACTAGCCTGCTCAAAAATAACCAAGCCTGCTTAAAAATAACCAATCACAAAACAGACGGCAATGCCGACTGTACCGCACGACGCTGTCGTTTTTTAGCTTTAGTAAAAAAAATGGCATCTGGCGACAGCACAACCATCTTATTTTCTTTAGAAGAAATGCTTTTAGCGCTTCTACTTGTGGTTTTAAAGACATTCAAGTCATTTAGAACAGAGGAAAGAGCCCCAGCAAACTCTGCCGCTGTCTTCGTTGTTTATGAGAAACTGAGCATCGCTGTGTGTGATGTCCGCGACGCTTTAGTTTATCAGCTGTAGTCAAAAATGGCAACTGGCAACAGCGCAAACATCTTTCTTTAGAATAAAGGCTTTTGCGCTTCTACTTGTTTTATTTAGTTATTTTATTATTATTATTATTTGCTTCTACTTGTTTTAAAGACGTGTTCAAGTCATTTAGAACAGAGGAAAGAGCCGTAGCAAACTCCGAATCAGTCGCCATGGTCGACAAACTTGGCGTTTTGTTGTGTGATCTACGCTACTCAGCGCTGATTGGCTCGGTTAGAATTCTCAGGGGGTGGGGTTATTTGAATACGAGAGTTCCCAGAGGACAAGTGGCAGGCCAGGCTAGCAGAAATCTGCACTTTTGCAGAATTCAGTGACAACTCCAACTCAATTTTTGAGGTTTTCAACTCCCCTTTGAGGCATAACAGACCTGTCACCAATACCCCTCCCCCCAGTGTCCCAATGATCCATGGGGCTAAGTTGTCTGGGACTTTATGCCTTTGGTAGTTTCACCCATGACAACAGGTCCTAGATGAGGGATCAGAAAAAGTGTAGTCCACAGGCACCTTATGAGGGAAAACATAAATAGAAACCGTGTTCCCTTGCTCGGGCATGTTGGCAAGCACCTAGTGGCCAGGCTTTTATCCATGGAGCCAGCCGGGCACAGTCTGAAGGGGAGACGTGGGTCCCTCTTTCCATGAGCCGGTGGGTGGGGTCAAAAGGGTCAGGTGCAGTGTGTGTTGGATTGGTAGCCGAAGGCAGGGACCTTAGCGGTCTAATCCTTGTCTTCAAAAGCTGGCTCTTGGTACGTGAAATGTCACCTCTGATGGGGAAGAGCCGGGGTTGGTGTGAGGTTGAGAGGTTCCAGCTAGATATAGTTGGACTTACCTCAATGCATGGCCCTGGATCTGGAACCAGTTTCCTTGAGAGGAGTTGGACTATCTGGATTTGCTCGCACTGAGAGGCGCTGAGCAGCTACTGTCCCGATTTTGATGCCTGTACATTGGGATTTACCCAGGTTAATGAGAGGCCATCCTCTCCCCACCTACGTGTGGAGGGACAGGTCCTGACTGTGGTTTGTGCTTATGCATCACACTCAGCTCAGACCACCCACACTTTTTGGAGTCCTTGGAGGGGGTGCTGGAGAGCGCTCCTTCAAATGACTCCCTCGTTCTGCTGGGGGACTTTGATGCTCATGTGGGCAATGACAGTGAGACCTGGAGGGGTGTTGATCTGAATCTGAGTGGTGTTTTGTTATTGGACTTCTGTGCATGTTGTCCAAAATGAACACCATGTTCAAGCATAAAGGTGTCCTTATGTGCTCTTAACACCAGGATACCTTAGACTTTGTTGTCATCTCATCTGATCTACAGCTGCATGTCTTGGAAACTCAGGTGAAAAGAGGGGCGGTGTCGGTACAGTATCTGCTCGGGTGCAAGATCGGCTCGGGTCCGTCGACTGCCGATGACGTCTAAGTAGTTGATTGGCTGAACATGAACCTTACGGAATTACGTAATCACGTAACGTTGTTATCACGTGACGTTGGTCCAGGCAAATTTTTTCTATTGGAAAGATGGACAACTTTTACAAAGAAATCCATCATTACCTCTTTGAAAATACACTTTTAGCATAGAGCTGCAAGTATATTAGGGCTGAACGATTAACTGCATGTGCAATTAAATTGTGATGTGACAAAAGGAGATTTTCTAATGGCAAAGGCTGCAATTTGGCAGCGAGTGGTTAGCGCAATGCTAATATACATGGAAAAACCCATAGGAATGCTAATGCTAATATCGCCGATTACATTATTACAAATTATGAATTAGAAACGTGGCAAATGATTACATTTGGAGTCTAATAGAAAGTAAAACTACCATCAATCAAATAAGTACAGACAGGTATTTTAGTAAAGCCAGAAAACTTTTAACTCCAGAGTTTTGGCTAGCAGCTATGAGCGTAACTGAACTACGCATGGACAAGACATCAAAAACTCAACACAAATACTTCAATAAACGGGACACACTTCTTTCCTGCAAATACAATTTCACAGGTGTTGCTAATACCTATGATCCTTCAAGGGATGTGCTCAAAGAGGAGTTCAACATGAATCAAATATAGTGTTTTATTTTACAAATACTATTATAAACACAAACTTACGTCTTAAGAAACATTATTTTAATAACGAAACTGCTAAATTCTTTCCAACAGTATAGATGTGTAGTGTATTTTGTCCGAGTGGGTTTGCCGTACTTTGACGTCATCGGCAGTCGAAGGACCCCGAGCCGATCTTGCACCCGAGCAGATACTGTACCGACAGCGGCGCTGTCAACTGACCACTGCCTGGTGGTAAATTGGCTTTGATGATGGGGGAGGAAGCTGGTCTGACCTGGCAGGCCTAAACATATTGTAAGGGTCTGCTGGGAATGTCTGGAGGAATCTCCTGTCAAAAGAAGCTTCAATTCCCACCTCCGACAGAATTTCAAACACACCCCGAAGGAACTACGGGCATTGTCAACATTGTTGAGGCCTCATCCCATCGTCACTTCTTCCAGTGAGGAAGCAGAGTCTTTGGGGACTTTGGGTTGGACTCTCCAATCTCTGGGGCCGAGGTCACTGAGGTGGTCAAAAAACTCCCTGCCCTTATTCACAGATTCTGTTCATAACTTTTATGGACAGAATTTGTAGGCGCAGCCAAGGTGTTGTGCAGGTTTCTGCTTTTTGCAGATGACCTGGTCCTGTTGTAGCCTGGCCTGCCAGACTCGTTCTCTGTTTAATTCTGCGCAGAGAAAGAGTCTGGTAACTCACAGGCGAGGCGCTTGAGGGGCGGGACTAGCCAGCTCAAAAATAACCAATCAGAAAAAAGACGGAAATGCTAACTGTACCGCGCGACGCTGTAGTTTTTTAGCTGTAGTCAAAAATAGTGTCTGGCGACAGTGCAAACATCTCTCTTCTTAGAAGAAAGACATTTAGCGCTTCTACTTGTTGTGGTTTTAAAGACACTCAAGTAATTTAGAACAGACGACAGAGCCGCAGCGAACTCCGCTTCATTCGCCATGTTCATGAGAAACTTGGTGTTATGGTGTGACGTACGCTACTCAGCGCTGATTGGCTCGGTTGGAAGTAGGAAGTCGGGAAAGCGCACCCGCTCAAACGCCGCCCACCGCTGCTTCTTTACTTGAGTAAAACCCTAAACTGTACCGAGGCATCATCGGTCCCTCTGACCACCACCACCAGCAGGTGAAGTGGGGGGGAACCACCCACACCACACTATACCATTTTATTTGTTAAGCGCTGTTAACACAGCATCACAGCAGACCAAACGCTGCACAATAAAAACAAGCAAGCTAAATAATCACATAGATAGTACAGAAAAAAGAAGGTAATAAAAACCGAACAGATAATAAGAACCATAAAATACAAAAATTAAGCAATCAAGATGGAATGGAGGGCTTCTATCTGTTCTATTGAATTCTGTTCAACAGCAGCATAAAACTAATGAGCAAGGCAGGGTGAGGTCTTGGTGGCTCCACTCTTAGATGTGGAAACCTGACACCTTTGACCAAACATAAAAAGTAAGTAAATTTGAGTTTGGTTGATTATTTTTTTTATTGTGGCAATGCCCCATGGCAATAAATCAGCTATCCGGGAAACCTGATGGTGACCTTTGCTATGAGGTATATCTTGTAAGGAGTAAGTGTTCGTGGAATGAACAGCACAGCAAACATATGAGTACAACCCCCCATGTGCTCCTGATCTCGTTGCTTGGTTGTTTTGCTGATATCAGTTTCCTACATAAATCAGGGAAAACAAACAGCTGTACAGGACACAGTATTGACTCATTCTACACGTGATTTATCTGACAGGGGTCTCTGCAGCGTGTGGATGACTGACACTCAGCCACAGCAGTCTGGCTGCAGAGGCAAAGTGAGTTTTATTCAATTCAATTCAATTTTATTTATATAGCGCCAAATCATGACAAGACTCGTCTCAAGGCACTTCACATAATAAACATTCCAATTCAGGTCAGTTCATTAAGCCAGACAGAAAAAAAAAGTTTCCTATATAAGGAACCCAGCAAATTGCATCAAGTCACTGACTTGTGTCAGTGATTTTACAGCAATCCTCATACTAAGCAAGCATAAAGCGACAGTGGAGAGGAAAACTCCCTTTTAACAGGAAGAAACCTCCAGAGGATCCTGGCTCAGTATAAGCAGCCATCCACCACGACTCACTGGGGATCGAAAAGACAGAGCAGACACACACACACACACACACACACACACACACACACACACACACACACACACACACACACACACACACACACACACACACATGCACACACGCACGCACACACGCACACACGCACGCACGCACGCACACACACCAAACAATGTGTCTATGGTTACATTGTGATTGCGTAGTAAATATTCTATTTGGCGAGAGATAAACTTTATTGTATTTATCCTGGTGGATCTATTGTTAAACGGATAAACTAGTAGTAGCACATCCAACGTCAAGGAAACAAAAAGTTATTATCAGGAGAGGGAGAATGTTTAAGTGATTAGCAGCAGTGTGCTAGACTAGTGGTTTCCAACCTTTTTCCCAAGGGACCCCATTTTTTTACCAGTAAAATTTTTGACGACCCCCTCCCATTCTCTCTTCCAGTACAAACATTATTAAGAAATGATAAAATTGTTCAAGCACATTTTAATATGCTTCGATTCAATAGATAACAGTAATAGTAGGCTCCAGTACAGAACAAAGTCATTAACAAAACCAAACAGCATAATGTGCTTGACAGTTTGTATTACTTTTCTGAACACATTGTTTCTTGTAAACACTGATAAATCAACCATTCCTTTCAATAAACGTTTGACACATAAAAAATACACTGAGCAAAATGTACTTAACCCCCAGAGACCCACGGTTGTAATATTACAACATCAGATTTAAGTCTACAAAAATAAACCTTCCCCATTTTTTTTCTTTTCAAAACCACATTTACATTGCTAATAGGTCCTATTGTTCAGTTCTGCAACACTATTGGCGCTTAAAATGTGTAAATAATAATAATGCATTGAACTTATATAGCGCTTTTCTAGACACCCAAAGATGCTTTCACACACTCTCACATTCACACACTGCTAGTGATGGTAAGCTACTTGTAGCCACAGCCGCCCTGGGGAGGTCTGACAGAGGCGAGGCTGCCATTTGGCGCCGTCGGCCCCTCTGACCACCACTAACACTGGCAAGTTGGGTGAAGTGTCTTGCCCATGGACACAACAGCACGATACCCCTGGCGGGAGCTGGAATCGAACCCATGACCCTCCGATCATGAGGCAACCCGCTCTACCACCTGAGCTACTGCTGCCCCTAAATAAATAGGCCCGTTTATCTGGCCTCCTAGAACAACATGTGAAAGGTTAAAAAAAGATTTTGCAGTTGTTTTCTAAATTTGGGTTTCTGGGGGTTAAATGTGTATATTACTGTTTTTACTAGATTATTTACTGTAAAGGCTGTGATTAATCAACCAGTCCTATCTTTAATGAATTTTTGACACTTGAAAATAAAACAGTGAGCTGAGCAAAACTTTCTTAAAAGTGTGTTACTTTTTCTGTACTAATTATTTCCTGTCTTAATATCAGTAAACTTTTCACTCATGAAAAAAATGTGAGCAAAATGTAGGCTATAAACAAGTAATAAATGAAGTTTTAACCCCTTAAAGTGGAGAGGTCCTGGCCACCCACTGAGAGGCTTTGGCGCCCCCTAGTGGGGGTCGGGACCCCCAGGTTAGGAACCACTGTGCTAGACGATGGCCCGCTCCATGAGGCCACCACAGCTCAGCAGAACATCGCCGTAGCTTCCTCTGGGAAGAAAAACACTTAGAGAAAACATAAAGTTAACAGCTGAAATAGCAGGCATAATACAGTTAAAGAGCAGATTGTAGAAGAAAGTAGTAGAGTGTGAAAAGTGGTCAGTGTATCCTCCAGCAGTCTAAGCCTATAGCAGCATAACTACAGAGATAACTCTGGATAACCAAGCCTTTTTAGATGGAGGCATGTTGGAGGCAGGGCAAGGGAGAGCCATCTTTACCGACAGTACACTCCACCTCCCTCTACTCCCCTTCTTGTCCAGATCTAGGCTAACATCAGATTTTAACCATAGGCCCTATCAAATAAAAATGTTTTAAGCGTCTTAAAAGTAGACAAGGTGTCTGCCTCATGGACTAACACTTGGAGCTGGTTCCACAGGAGAGGAGCCTGATAACTAAAAGATTTGCCTCCCATCCTAATTTTAGATATTCTGGGAACCACCAGTAGACCTGCAGTCTATTTGAACCAGATCGGTGGAACATGGAGACTAAAGGGTGTTTTTACTGAAAGAGAAGATTTGCTAGTATTTTACAGAGAAAACTTCTCTAGCAGCACACTTTAAGCCGCGACGATGTCCTTGTTCCATTTATTTGCATTTCATGTTTCTCAAACAAACAGACCTACTTAACAGATGAACTCTGAGTGAGCTCAGCCGTGTGTGTCGGGGGAGTGTTGTCAGAGACCCTTCATGCTCCCTCTCCTCTTCTTTTCTCCTCCCCTCTGTCTCTCTGTGTCGTTCTCCAGACCCTGTTCTCATTCCATCAGGTCCTCCCCTCACTCACACCACAGTCTCCGAACGCCTCATCTCCTCCACCAGAGCCAGGGGAGAAGTGACGGGAGAGCAACATCAGCATCTGACAAACCTCTGCTTTGCAGAGGAGCAAATAGGGAGAGGAGGAAGAGAGGTGGGAGGAGAAGAAAGAGGGAGAGAAATAAGTTTGTTGAAGAGAGGAGCAGTGAGCTTCTTTTTCCTCATTTCTTTTCTCAGCTGTGAGCGCTGCCTGGCTCCTCTCTGCTCCCCGTCTCCTTCCCCTCCTCCTCCTCTTCTCTGCTCCTCTTCTCATTCCGACTCTCCTCCCAGCTCCGCCGTGGGGTCTCAGCTCTCCATCTCCCTCCCCCCCTCCCTGTCTCCCTACCTCCCCCGGGCTCTGCTGGGATCCTCCGGGCTGCTGCGCCGCAGGAGGATGTCTCGCAGGGAGTCTCCACCACCGCCTCCTCCACCTCCTCAGCTGCTGGGAGGGCAGAGGGGGGAGTGTGAGGACCGTCCGGAGCGCGCAGAGCCGCTGTCCGATGCTGAGAGGGAGATCATCCAGGACACATGGGGACACGTCTACAAGAGCTGTGAGGATGTAGGAGTTTCTGTGCTGATCCGGTGAGAAAACCCACATTTCTCTCTGTAGTAAACATGTGAGTCAGTCTGTTTACACACGCCCGGGTTTTGATTCAGGCATGGACGTAGTTTGGGGAGGGCAAGGGGGGCATGTCCCACCCACTTTTTTCAAAGTCAATTTTTGTCCCCTGCACTTTTGAGCATCCAAAAACAATATCACGCTGTATTACATAGACACTGGTTGAGCACTAGGACCAAGCGGAAAACAACCGCTTGTGTTGAAGCCTGTTTCCCATTAGACCCATCGACAAGCTCGTCTACTGGCTTTGCTGATACTTGCTAACGTGTGATTGGCCGTCCCTGCCACCTGTGTACTTGACAGTTCTGCAGTCCTGATATTGCATTGTAATGGATCAGGTAGAGGGTAACTGGATAAATAAATTGCTTAGAGCTATTTTGTTTTATTCTCATTACTTGTGACCCATAGCTTTAATAATCTATTAATTATAGAACATCACCTTGCTTGGTCTTAGGATGATTAATTAGAAGGTTCCAGGATTCTTTTAATTATTAAGGGATTGTTCACACTTCGTTTATGATTCAAGAACCAGTCAGTGTTTGCAAACCAATAAGAATTTATTTTACAAACAATTAAGACTCTACGAATGGTTTAAAGTATTATCCTGTGAGTGGATGGAACTAAAAGGTGGGTGTCTGAAAGCTATAAGTGAATATGAGATAATGAACCAGAATCTCTGTATCTTCAGAGAGGTGCGTTCTGGATAAAAGAGAATTTGGTTTGCATTTAAGCTAAGTTGCATACAGACGCTATCTCACTGTGTTCTATGTACCCAAGTGGAGACGCCCTTGCGGATCCGAGATGTCAGGAGGGGTTGGAGACCCCGAGTACAGAAGTCCATAGACCAACTTCTAGTATGATCAGGTCAGTTCAGGATCGCTTCAGGAAACACAGTTGACTGAAAATCACGCGTCTCAAAACAACTCTGAAGGAGTTTAACGTCAGCTTTGTACTGCAGGAAAAACTATCTTGTTGTTCAGCTTCGGAGGTGCGAAAAAGGTTTAAGGTTTTGACAGCGTGTCAAAATCCTTTTGGTTAAAAAGAGGCTGTAGCTAAAGATGGCCAGTCTAAAGCTTTGCTCTCCAACTGTCGAACTGTTGATGGTTCGAACTGCCGAGGAAACAGCGTGGACTGGTTTTTAAGGACTGGTGTAATCTCTTAAGAATGTTACCAAGCCTCTCAGAACACACACACACACACACACACACACACACACACACACACACACACACACACACACACACACACACACACACACACACACACACACACACTGTGATGCAGAGCCTCTGAGTCTGGGCACAAGGTTAACTATAGCCCTTTTCAGACAGACATTCTGGAACATTTGCGGACAATTCAATCCGGTTTTTAACCGGAACTTTGTTTTCAGACACACTACTTTTGTACCAGAACTTGTCCTTTCGGCTGCGTTCACACAGCAGGGAAAAGTTCCAGATGTCTGATGGCGGCAGGGGGGTGGTGGGGGGTGGGTGGGGGGAGAGAGAATCGGACTCATGTTAAGAAGAAGAATAATAATAATAAGAAGAAGAAAATATCATTTCTATAGCGCCTCTCAAGATAAAAATCACGAGGCGCTTAAGCATAATTCTGCGCACACGAAGACGCATAAGAGACCTGGATGATGAAGCTCAATGGTTAAAGGAATCACTGAAGCGGTGTGAAGCACTGTCGCACGTCTAGACGGTACCGTATGAGGCGAGTTGCCGTGGTTCGCCGCATGCTACAGCAGCGGGCTATCTAGCGTCCCCCGGTCCCCTCCTCCTCCCCCTTGTCTTTACCTCACCAGTCTGAAGCAGCCACCCTGTCCGTAACATGTCCGGACCTGTTACTAGGGGCTTCGTCTGGTTAAATTCCGGAACACGTTATCCGGATGTTTGTATTCAGACACAAAGGTCTTACGGACAGAGTCCGGGACATTTCCGTTTTTCATGGCCTGTCTGAAGGGGGCTTATGTGTCATGCGTTCTTAATTTTAACCTTACTCCTTGTCTGGCGTAATGATAACCTCATCCTGTAAACACTACTATGTCATGTTGGGGGTGTGGAGATGATGGACCATGTGTGGTGGAGAGTTCAGGAGGCAGGAGAGCAGCACGGATGAAAAATAAAAATGGTTTTAATGGTGGAATGGGAAGGGCAGGAACAAAACAACGATGACTACAAACAACAACAATGATCTGACAATGGACAGGAGCAAAACAGGTGGTATAAATACAGAGGGCTAATTAGGGAAACATGGGCAGGTTAACTAGGGACAGGTGAGAACGGGCAGGGGCAGAACGTGACAGTACCCCCCCCCCCCCCCCCCCCCCCCCCCTTAAGGGCGGATACCAGACGCCCACAAGGCTACACAACACTGGGGACAGGAACTCGAAGACTCGACATGACAGGAACGAGACACGACAGGGACTGGACTGGAAACACTCGACGAGACGAGACTTGGACTGGAACGTGGAGACGAGACTTGGACTGGAACGTGGAGAAGAGACTTGGACTGGGACGTGGAGACGAGACTTGGACTGGGACGTGGAGACGAGACTTGGACTAGGACGTGGAGACTTGGACTGGGACGTGAAGACTTGGACTGGGACGTGAAGACTTGGACTGGACGTGAAGACTTGACTGGACATGAAGACTTGACTGGACGTGAACGGGAAGACTTGGACTTGATAACAGGAACACTGCAGGAGCAGGCGTGCGACCCAGGCAGAGAACTGCAGGAGCAGGCGTGGGGATCCAGGCAGAGAACTGCAGGAGCAGGTGTGGGACCCAGCAGAGGCTGCAGCAGAATGAGACCTGCAGGCATAAGCCCCACAGCGTGGACCAGGAAGTGGACAATCTGCAGAAGCGACGCCAGAAAACCAGGATCGGCGGCAGGCACTAGACAGCCGGTCAGAGCAGGTGCACAGCACGATTAGCTGGATCTCAGGAAGAGGCTTGGGTGCAGGGAAGCAGGAGAAGAGCGGGGAGACCAGCCCTACCACCCCGGGGAACGATGGCGTGCGTAGGGGGTGTAACTCCCTTAAAGCTCCAGGATCCGCGGCTTCCATGACAAAAACGGGACGGGGGCAGAAAGCAGGAGAGGAGAAGGGCTCGACCACCACAGGAAACGAACTGGATGCGCCGAAACCCACCCAAAGGCTTGACCACCCCGGAGAACAGGTAGGATGCACCAACACCCTGGGCCAGAATCTCCTTCTGCTAAAGGAGAAAAAGTAAAAAATAAATCCTCCAGGGAGCAGGTGTTAGCTCACCACAGGTCCAGGTTTGGTCAGATCATTCTGTCACGGTGAACGAGGTGGAGGTGGCGGACCATGTGTGGATGAGCTGAGCAGGAGGTAAAAATGCAGGCTTCGGATAAAGTAAAAAATGGTTTAATGGCAGGATGGGATGAACAGGACAAAACAACGATGACTACAAACAACAACAATGATCTGACAATGGACAGGAGCAAAACAGGTGGTATAAATACAGAGGGCTAATTAGGGAAACATGGGCAGGTTAACTAGGGACAGGTGAGAACAATACGAACTAATCAGGGCAGGAGAGAAACACAGTCAGGAGGGCAGGGGCAGAACGTGACAACTAAACCATCATTGAATACAGACATTTCATCGCTTAATTATACATGGCAATATGTAATGATTTTTAATCATAAAATCTTATTTCTTCCATGATTATTTCTGGGAATAAAGATTTATCTGAAACAGTTCTCTTGTGAAGGGCCTTGGGGAAAGAATGCCACTGTTCATCTTTATTATCTGCTTGAGCTGCGCTCAGCTGATGAAGTCATCTGATTAAAATGCTGAGTTGTGCAGACTCACAGACTCCTGACAAGGGAAGATACAGCAGAACATGTAGTAGCCAGGGTTTTTTGCTCTGGCTGCATATGACCTGTGGGATCTTTAAAATCTATCTATTTGATGACGTTACAGCACAAAAGAGCCTCTAGGCTGCAGTTTCATACATATTTTTGGTATACTTACTTTAAAAATCCCCCCCGGTCATCATGCCGGTTGTGTCCCCCCTAGGGATGGGTACCTTTGACATTTGAATCGATCCGGTACTAATTCCCAGTACCTACGAATCGATACCGGTACTTAACGGTACCAATTTTCGATACTTTTGAGTGTTTATTATTTTAATTCTCTTTTATAATTAAATATATATTTTTCTCAATATATAACAATATTTGATAAACATCACGATAAATAACATTCAACTGTTTGTATTTTAACATCGTCCTTGTAGTTTTATAAGCTGATAATTAAACTGAAGCAAACATCTTTACTGTGAACTAAATTTACTGTGTATCTTCATTCCTTTTGCCGTCTTTTTTCATTTGATTTTTCCTACTGGGAAGTTAGAATTTCCGAGGAGAAAGCGAACGCACCATTAGCTGATAACGGTGGCAATGGAAGCTAACATATCAAGCTAACGTTATCTTTAACAGTTTATTTAGCTGCTGGAGCAGATTAAAACGATGATGCCTCACACTTAGATCGTTGTCACTGGTTTCATCTTCACCCAATCACCCGTCACATTTAGTAAAGTGAAGCCAAACTTTAGAGCGCGTTCATGTTCTAGTCGGAAATTTGGAGTTCCGAGGAGAAAGCGAACGTACCATTAGCGAAACGGAAGCTAACATATCAAGGTAACGTTATCTTAAACATTAAATTTACCTACCAGAGCAGATTAAGATGAGGATGTCTCACTTAGATCGTTGTCGCTGGTTTCATCATCACCCAGTTACCCATCACATTTAGTGAAGTGGACCCAAGCTTTAGCGTGCGTTCTTTCTACCCATGCTGCTCTGTTTACAACACGCTCGCAGCGGCCGACGACATAACGCTCTTGCGCATGCGCAGCTGTCTTGGCAAGTTCTCGTTATGAAGGACGGGTACCGAAACGAGGCACCGTTTGAAACGACGTGAATCGGTGCT